TCTGGCGGACACGCCAAGGCAATCCATATGCAAACTTAAACTCAATTCTAAGGCAGCCGTTGGTCAGGGCCGTCATCGACATTGTCGGGTCTTAATGAGCTCCAACTTAGCCAAAGCCAGGCACGAATGACGGCGACATAAAAATATCTGAATATCTATCAAAGAAATCTGTAACACAGAACACTGGAATAATTCTGAAAGATCTAAGCGATATTCCATTAGATGCAGTTGTCATGACATGAATTGTGTACAATGGTCTCAGGGATCTTTAAAGAACCGCTTAGAGGCCCTTTCTAAAAACTTAAAATATGCAAGAATTTTAAACGATCGGTAGCAGCATGTTAGAAACTTAGAGACAATAAAGAATATTTATCTATTTTACGAACAATAAATTAAAATATATAAAAGGTTTGGGAGAAGAATTTGGCATCTGCAATTTAAATTTTAACTTTGTTAGATAGTTTTATTCATCAAAACCCTTAGAACATTTGTTAATTTGTTATAGTTTCTACAGAAATTGGTTTATATTTAAAGGGATTAGTTTTTGGTTTAGTAAAAGATATTCAGATTTTTAGGGTAAAACTAATAATAGATTTAAGAATAACAATTGAGAGCAATCAGTACTAAAAATCTACATAAATTAATTATATTTTATTTAACTTTTGGACTCAGCTACTCTTAATTGTACTATTGAAAAGCCTTTATTAACAGCAATAACAGAAATAATGGTTACAAATCCATTTCGGCAGACCAAAATGTATGGCTCCTTTAATGGATTTTGGGATTATCTAGACTTCTTTATACTACAGCTTTAAATGTTTTTGTAGTTTAATGAATTTAACACAAAAAAACTAGTACAATTAATTAAAAGTTGAAAATATCTTCAAAATCATAATAAATAAATACCAAGGCCAAAAATATTTTTAAAGCTTAAAGAATAATGACGTCTTAGTACTTATTCAAAACATTTTAAACTAGTTTAAGCAGTAAGAGATAAACATTGTTTTAAATGATTAATGTAAGGTCGGCGCACGCTTTGATTTATGAGGTATTTTGATTGACTTTCGCCCCGACGAAACGCCCAAAAATGAGTTATGTGTTTTGGCCAAAATAAATCGATTGTGAAAAACCCAAAAATGTTATGTAATTTTGGTAAGGGTTCAACTATACCCACTCCATTCTAGCCACTTTTCTTTTTTTCTTAATTTTATGATTGATATAGACCATACGTAACATCGATGCACTTACAGACATGTCCAGCCACTACGCCCATATGTGGGCAGACCATTGTGGGTCCAGCTTCCAGCGAAGGCGTGGTCAACTTGGCCGGGTTCCACGTCCATGGATCCCAAATTGGCCAACGCGAGCAAATTTTTTACAACTTTAACGACTTCTAATTAAAACGAATTCATATCCCGAGCTATTTGGTGATCATTAAAGTGTAAAATAGTGCCTGGGCCGAGGGCGCCGGTGCGCCGGTGAGCCGGTACGCGGAGTGACGCCGTGATTGATTTATTGGCTGACTATGGTCCGAATCCCCGGCCATATAAGCCATGTACCATATGCTATTCACGGAGAGCGACAACATCATCGCAATCGGATGAAAAACGCGCCGTGGCTCTACGTGGCGTGCACACAAATCGAGGACATTCCGATTTGTCCGACCGATACAGTAACAAGCACTAATTGAAATGGCCATTTAAAAGGAAAGTGTCCCAAGCGTCGGGCACCTAAAAGTGCACCCGATCTCGGTACGGATTGGGACCCATCAGAAGCTGTCACTGCTCTGGTATTTTTTTTCTTTGCCGACTGACACATTTCGCAACATTTTGGAGAAACGCGCGCGTTAATTACAAAATATGTGCGCGATGTTTGAAATCAAAATTTATGCAAGGCAATGGTAGCTTTTTGTCAAAACGTCGTCAATATGCAATTTTATAGCCAAAAGTCTCAGGCGATTTGCGCAACCCGTTGGGTGAGATCACATGCTCGCCACCGGAGATCTCGATCTCAATATCGATCTCGATTTGGATTCCGATCTCGTGCCCAGGCCCACGCCGCTGGGCCCACGATCTCCGGTTCGGATCGGTCACTGCTAACATATTTTCGTCGTTTTCCGAATCCGGCTGCTATTTGGATATTTTCACACATGCCAAAAGTGCAATTTGCAATCGCCTTAGATGCGACTCACTAATTGATTCTTAACTGTCTTGCGCCAATTTCGGTGGGCCTCGCCACCGGTTCTGTTCGTGCCAAAGTGGTCGCTATTTTTAGTTGACAATTATTTTAATGCTTTTGGCCGCAAAGGTAAATTGAAATTGTCCAGCATTTTTCATCGCATTTAATGACTTTTTACGACTTCTCATCAACATATCTCTCAGTCGAAAATGTAGCTTTGCACACTGATTTTTATCTCGTGGTGCAAGCCACATTATTTATGCTTTTTGAATTGCGTTGAAAGAGGCGAAAATTCAGAGTTTCGTGGTAATTATGAAAAACGAGTTCACATCGACAGCTATTCAAGCAGTTACTTTTATCACATGCATCAAAAAAATTCACCTTTTTAACTAGTTTTCAGCTATGTAGTTATGTTTAATAAATGTCCCACCAACACTGATCTAGTTTTTGATTTCACGGTTTATGGTAAGCTCGAAATGGCAAAAACTATTGTATGTAATACAGTTTGCACTACTTTTGTAATTTCATTGATTTTTAAATTAGTTATTTTTAATAACTGCTTCGAGCCACTGGGACCTATTTGCGCCACCACCTTGACTTAAGTCGGTTTTAAAATAGATTTCAACGCCTCTTTGAAAAGCCATTAATTGTTAATAGCTTTGATCTTAAGAGGTCAAAGCATTTTAATTAAATAAACTCTTTAAAATAAGTGAACTTATTAAGTGGTTAGGTGGAAGGTAATGAAGAGCAACTCACTAAGTTAACTGAGAATAACCTGTATTCTTTTAAAATAATGAAGCGTTTTAATCTATTATAATAATTCGGTAATTTTCCAACGTCTTTCGTAAAACGAATAATAAAATGAATCCATTGTCTTAAACGTGCTTAAGTTAATAATAGTAATACAGTTGCAATTTCTGTTGAAAATACATCTACAGTGGCTCACAGCTTATTTCGTGCAAAGGTTAACCTAAAATTCAAACTCGTATATTTAACGAACGGTAAGAGGTATCAACAAAATTTAAATGCAGTTTTGTTAAGTAGGATTTAGGCATTTATGAGGACACTTCATTATTTTTAAATACCATTAGATAACGCTTAAAACTAAAATACAAAAAAAAATACTGACTTTTTTTATGTCACAGCTTATTTCGTGCAAACAACTTGATCTTAAATTATAATTATAATAATAAACTTAATATTTTGTGTGGCCTCCATATTGCTTAATTACATCCTTAAAACGAGTTTCCATTGAAAAAACAAATTTTTCCGTTGGTTTCTTTGGAATCTTGGGCCATTCTTCGAAGAGGCCTGTTTTGAGCTCATTTGGTTGGGTATCGACCTCTTGCCAGGATACCAGGATCTAAAATTGGCTACAAATTCTTAATGACGTTAAGGTCAGGAGACTAGGCAGGTGTATCCATTAAGTGAGGGCAGTTCCATTGCATCCAGGTCTGCAGAAAATCTGATTTTTGCTTTGGGTCATTATCCTGGTAAAATTGGTAGCTCCTCTATGTTCAATTTCTTGGCGTCCTGGTCAAAATTATCCTTCAACTGTTGAAAGTACTTATGTTTGTCCATAGTTCCATCGATTAACGCCAAAATTCCAACTCCGGATAACGCCATGCATCCCCAAGCCATGATTCTATCGCCACCATGCTTGACCGTAGGTATTAGATTTTTAGTGTGCAGCTCTGTATTTAGTTGATGTCAAGAATACTGCATTCCACCCTTCCTAATTTTGGCCCAAAATGTTGATCTTGGACTTGTCTATGAAAATAACATCATTCCAGATCGATAACGGATGAGTTACATGGTCGTTGGAAAATTTAAGCCTGCGCTTCTGATTCTTCGGCCTAATAAAAGGCCTTTTGCGGGCTACTCGGTCATTAAAGTTGTGTTTCCGCAAGTCGCGGCGGACTAAACCTTTTCCCATTTCATGTTCAATATCTACTTCATGTTTTGGTGCCCAATTTTAGCGATTAATTAATTTATTTAATTAATTTTTTAGTATAATTCGCCTTTTCTCCATACCTGAAAAAGTTTTATTCTGAGCATTTTGGCCTTTATCTGCTAATAGATTTTCTCGGTTGAAGCAGTGGATGATATATTGGATAAGAATATAGCTCACGTTTACTATTTCAGCAAAATTAAGTTTAGTTTTTTCATTTTTAATGTGATTTAGGACCAGTTTGCTTTGCTCCATGGGTGTACGCGTGCTCATTTTGGTAAATCAAAGAAAACTTTTTTTTTCAGTGTAACCAAACGTTAAAAAGTTATAAATATATAAGTTGATATCTTCTCTAATGGATTGCAACAAGAAAAAGTTATTTAAGATTAACGAATTACAAATTTAGTGTACTTAAAGTTCTTGCACGAAATAAGCTGTGACATGAAAAAATTCGTTATTTTTAGTTTGTTTTAGATTTTAGAGTTAACTAATAGTATTTAAAAATAATAAAGTGTCTTAATAAATGCCTAACTCCTACTTAACAAAACTGCATTTAAATTTTGTTGATATCTCTTACCGTTTGTTAGCTATAAGAATTTGATTTTCAAGCTTACCTCTGCACGAAATAAGCTGTGAGCCACTGTACTTGTATATTTAATGATATATAATAGGTGTAAAAATGACGAAATTACTTAATTGTATCAAGGTTTTTAAGTCTCAAAGCAATATTTCTTATTTTGATTTCGTTATTTGCTTTTAAATATTTTTATAACGGTCTACTTTGAAACCCCAAGCTAGTATCTTTTAGTATGCAAAGCGAGCGGTATATTTCCGAGCCCCTCGCTGCGGTCACACTGCCAGCCGGCCATGTGAGAACCTTCCATTGAGCAACAGTTGTTTTCCACCTCTTCGCCTAATTACTTTCCCAGCTGCTAATTACCGTGTCGCGAGTGCAATAATTTAAAGATGGCCAGCAACTACGAAGGCTACAAGTCGCCGCTAAGCACCCGCTATGCCAGCAAGGAGATGCAGTTCCTGTTTAGTGACCAGAACAAGTTCTCCACCTGGCGCCGGCTGTGGGTCTGGCTGGCAAGGGCGGAGAGCACGCTGGGGCTGGAGATCAGCGAGGCGCAGATTGCGGAGATGGAGCGCGAGATCAGCAACATTGACTTCGAGGCAGCGGCCGCCGAGGAGAAGCTCACGCGGCACGACGTCATGGCCCATGTCCATGTCTTTGCCAAGCAGTGTCCGACGGCGGCGCCGGTCATCCATCTGGGAGCCACCTCGTGCTATGTGGGCGACAATACGGATTTAATTGTGCTGCGAGATGCTCTGCAGCTGCTGCTGCCGCGGGTCGCCTGCGTCATCGCCCGCCTCTCGCAGTTCGCTCAGAGCTATAAGGATCTGCCCACGCTGGGCTTCACCCATCTGCAGCCTGCCCAGCTCACCACTGTGGGTAAGAGAGCCTGCCTGTGGATCCAGGATCTGATCATGGACGAGCGTGCCTTGTCTCGGTGCCTAGAGGATCTGCGCTTCAGGGGAGTCAAGGGCACTACCGGCACCCAGGCCTCCTTTCTGCAGCTCTTCAACGGTAATGGGGAGAAGGTGAAGCAACTGGATAAGCTGGTAACCGAACTGGCTGGTTTCAAGAAGGCTTACTCCGTGACCGGGCAAACCTACTCCCGGAAAGTGGACGTAGAGATTGTGGGAGCTCTGGCCAGTCTGGGAACCACTGTGCACAAGATGTGCACCGATCTGCGTATTCTGGCCTCCCGCAAGGAGCTGGAGGAGCCCTTTGAGAGCACCCAGATTGGATCCTCGGCCATGGCCTACAAGCGGAATCCTATGCGCTCGGAGCGATGCTGCGCCCTGGCCCGTCATCTCATCACGCTGTTTAGCAGTGCCGCCAATACCCATGCCACTCAGTGGTTGGAACGCACTCTGGACGACTCTGCTAACAGGAGGTTGACTCTGTCCGAGGCTTTCCTGTCTGCTGATGCTACCCTTCTGACTCTGCTCAACATCTCGCAAGGATTGGTGGTTTACCCGAAGGTGATTGAACGACACATTGCCCAGGAGTTGCCCTTCATGTCCACGGAGAATATAATCATGGCCATGGTGAAGGCAGGCGGTGATCGGCAGGTTTGCCACGAGAAGATCCGCGTGCTGTCCCAGGAGGCTGGCGCTCAGGTGAAGCAGCATGGCAAGGACAACGATTTGGTGGATCGTGTACGCAAGGATCCCTACTTTGCACCCATACTGGAGCATCTGGACACCATATTGGATGCCAGGACGTTCACAGGACGAGCTAGTGAGCAAGTGGATGACTTTGTGGAAGAGGAGGTACGACCCGTGCTGGCACGCTACACAGAGGCATTGAAGAACGTCCAAGACGTCAAGCTGAACATCTAGAACCCATTATGTTGTCCCGCATTAATCCCCCCAAGTTTAATTTTGTAAAAAATAGCCGTACATTCGCACCTAATCAACAGCGTCAGCCGTCGACGATGCAGTCGAGAGATTATCGCCATGGACTCAATGGGGTCGTTGGCTGTGTCAGACCCCCGACGAGATTTGTTGTCGGTTTCAACTTGTTTTTGTTTTTGTTTTGCCCAGCTTATTTACAATTAAAAACCACAAGCCTCGAATCGAACTCGAGAGCTGACGTTCTTGATCCGAGTAAACATATTTTGCCGCCTTTTTGCCTTTGCCTTTCGCCACTCGGCCTGACATATCACGACTCCAATGCTGCTGCACAGTAGGTCTATGGGTCTGTCTCTAGGTCTGTCTCATGGAACCCCAGGTCGCTGCTGCTGACTTACTTTTAATTATATAACACACAAACATATAACATATAGCCATATGCTGAGAATTTTCCCGGCAGCCGCATGCATTTCTTAAAGAGTTTTAACGAGCTACTGGTTTTAAACTAGAACAAATTTTAATTATTCAATGGCATTTTATGCTCTTATTTCCATATTTTATATTGTTTTCAAGGAAAATAAATAAAAATAATACAAATAAATATGAGGGTTCCCGAAGAATACATTTTCTTTTTCAGATGGCATTTGGATCAGACATCGATCAAAGATAAGCCCAAAATATATTAATTTCAATTCGGAATATTTACTTATATAATGTATATAAATTTATGATTTATAGGGTATAAAATAATATAGGGTATGAAATAAAATGATTGCAAACTAAGCAAAAGCACCTGGCCAGGAGGTCGTCTAACTTTTGCTGTTGCTAAATGGATTATCACATTTAATTGACTTGATTTACATCAGATAAGTTCACATTCTATAAAAACACCTCGATTTAATTGAGAAGGAATTAGCATAATCCAACATCAAAGTAATTATTAGTAAATTTAGTAATTTTTTAAAAGATATATTTTCATATATGTTCTTTAATTATTTTCTATATTCATGTTAAACGATCTAATTAAAATTCAAAGTTGCAGTTTCTGTCAAGTATGTTCACTTTTCTTCAACTGAATAGTTAGCCTATTTTATAAAAATTCAATCTGTATAAAATAAGAAAAGACACAGTTAAATTCCGGAAAATTAAAAAAAAGTTGTATGTGTTTATTAGCTGTTAATAGATTTGCTTGTCGAGAGTTTTTAGCCATAACATTTTAATCAGCCAGTCGGCAAGCAACTTCAAGTTTCCTTTTCGGGCTGATGAATGGATGGATGGCTGCGAAATGATGATCCAAACGTGCTGCACTCTCGTGCGAAAGACGTGAGACAAACACACATGACTAATTAGGCCCAGTGTCATGTCATGTAAACCCAAGAAATACAGACAAGCGACTGAGTTTTATGATCCTCTACCTGGTTGAATATTGAACCGACTTGCAGGCTAGCAATTAAGTCTAATGTAATTACGTTGGTCCGGTTAACACGCAAAATACGGCAGTGACAATGCCAACCAGAGCAGATCCAGTGCCAGTACGGATATATATAAAGACTATTGCAATAAGTCATACTATATATATGTATATATATACAAAAAACGGAAGCGACCAAAGACAATTCGTGGGGCACGCGAGAAACAATTTCTTCATTATTATAAAAGTAAAGTTACAGTGGCATTTGTGTTATTTGCAATGTCGGTTCGTTTTTCTGGATATATGCTTTCACGCAATCCCCATGGAAAATCGCATTTCCCACACTATTATTCGTAAAGCGACCTTCTTGGATGGGATTATAAGATTATAAGTAAAACATACACCTTGATTTTCAAGGTATATCTATATAACTTTCATGAGGAAAGTAAATCTTTATATGTACACTTTTTCAATAATATTTTCAATATGCAGTTGTATATATGAATGAATTTTCAAGAAATACCAAATGTATCTTCATATATTTAAATTTAACACCTCAGGAAAGCAGTCACAAGACGTCAAGATAGTATTCTTTAAATCATCTGATTTGACTTTATCTATGTGGTGCAGGAAACACCACAAAGATAATCACTCAACTGGCTGGTATCTCCAGTTTCATTAACAAGTCGTGCCGCCAACGACAGACGCCCCATGAATCAGCTAACCGACGAGCGGTTACGGACTAACTGAAGTAGTAATGGGGGCCAATTATGGACGGACCATGTTGCCAGTTGTTGTTTGCCACTAAACGTGGCTGCCGTTGACCGTTGCAATACCGTTTGCTGCTGTTTTTTTTTCCTTTATTTTTGGGGACGGAGACCTTGACTTTGAAACCGATACCGAGACGGACACCAAAGCTATTGGCAAAGCCGGGAAATGGAAGTGAAATTGGCAAACAGGTTCCAAATCGAAACCACCAAAATCACTTTCTTCGGCCTGCATTTAAGTTGGCATCAATTGTTAGGAGTTTTGGTGACTGCAATTGGAATTAAGTCATATAAATAGTTTCAATAATAGCTTTTGAATTTGATATGGTAATGGATTGAAACTATTTAGTAATTTTTGTTTATAGATCGATTAAAAATATAGCATGATTATAATTGTTCCTATTCATTAGGGATTATGAATTTTGAATTTGATAAAACTATTTACTAAGTTATGCTGTATAGTTGGATTATAAATATAACATGATTATAATTGTTCCTATTCATTAGGGATTGTATTTAAAGGATAGTAATTTTATAAAATTTTACTGAAAAAATAAATTATATTGAAAAGAAAACCATTTAATTTACTATTAATTTAAATAGCACCCACTTTGGTGAAGTCTCAGTGATTCCCCCGCCTATTTCGAAAGTCTATGGTCATCAACCACATTCCACAAACGCCTCGGGTAATTAATTATGCAATTATTTAATTCGCTAAAGTAATTGCATTAATTGGAAGCACTTCTGAGTTGCTTTGGTTTTGGTTTTAGTTTGCTGTGGTTCTTGTCCGTCTAACCATTAACCACCAAAAACACCAGCACCACCTGCCATGTGGGGTGCGCACGCGCCGCTCTGTCTGCCATGAAAATGCCCAATGCGATTTCAGGTTGCGCCTTTTCTGCTGCGATACGATTTGGTAAGCTCAGGTGCAACGCCCACTAGTCTAGGTGAACAGTGAACACAGAGAAAAAAAGCAAACAAAATTTACGATAACAAATTCCCATACAAATTTACACCTTGTATTCATAAGTTGAAATATTCAGAAAGCTAGTAATAGCAAGTAAAAGCTTGATTTAGTTTTTAGTTTGCATGTAGCCAGGTTTATTTCTCAAGATATTTTGAGTTATTTTTAGCCATTAACATGCGTATATAGTTTGCTTGGCTGGCCGGATCGATGGGCAATACGTAACTGGAATGGCCTAATTAGCCAACTGGCTTAATTGAACACCAGAAGTGAATTATGCATATTCGTGTCACTCTGTCAATTATGTGCAACTAAACTAAGTTGCTGAGCTGTAGCCAGTTTTTCTTCTTTCATGTCTAGTTTGTAGTTTGTTGTAGTTCCCAAAACTAATCCCTGCCATTGTTGCAGGTGTCGTGACTTGGAGCGTAGGTCTCATTATTATATATTTCCTATACAGCTATTTAATTTTATGTGAGATCGACCGACTACTCACAACACCTGCCCATATTTAACATATATATGTAAACCAGAGTCCCAAAGATCGCGCGGTAAATGACTTCTGGGTTTAAAGCTAAATGGCAGCTTGGATCAGCGTTGAGACCACCACCACCACCAGGCAGGTGAATGGCGGCAAGTCGTCAAATGCAGTCGCACAATCTTGCGGATATATGAAAGTGTGTAAGCGTTTACATAACAGGCTTAAGATTCCGATCGATAGAGAGAGCGAAAGTAAAGCCCACGGGGCGTCACATTAACCTGCTCAATGAGCCCCAGTTCGATCCAAAACCAGATCCAGGTGATGGATTTAAATGTTCTAGATGAATAATTAGCTAATGGTCCGACGAAAGTGAAGGTAAATGTCGATCATGTCGGGGCATTTATCACAGCTGTCAGAGTCCGATATATAATCCGATCCTATCCAAGATTTATATCAACAGTCTGATGCCGAATCAAAGCCACCGAACATGGACTGAGAATGCATTAAATAGAAATCAATTCGAAGCACTCAAAGGCCGATCTGCGATCAGCGGGTGCTATTCAATGTGGTTTTCTGATATTTTCGGCCTTTCGGTTCGTTCGGCTTCTTGGCGGACTGGAAACCTTTTGGCGGCATCTGAAGGTCACTTGCATTGGATCTCAAAATAATTGTCTTGGTTGTAATTAAAACATTTGTTACTTTCAACGCAATGTTCGCTCTGTTGTTTACCGCTTCGAGCGGTTGTTTTAAAAAAAACCGCTTTTGGTCGTAATTTTTATTAAAATGTGTAATTTAGAGCAGTCTTGCAAACCGGTATGTGCTTTAAAGTACGTGCAGCCATTGAGCTTCATAATTGGTAATTAATTAATAAAGCCTCAATTCATTTCAAACTCAAATACGTGAAGAGATAAAGACAATTCGCTCGAAACGTATGCGTAATGTCATTTTATATTGTTTGGGGGCCCTTAATTGTATTTAAATAAAATTGAGTCAATGCTATCTTTTGTGTTTAAATAACACTTAAGAAATCCATCAAACTGTAAACTCAAAATTGGCAAATCAAACTTGGAGTGAATTTCGGTCAATTTTTAATTTTTTTTTGTGGGTTCCAATACCTTTTATTTAATCTAAATCTTTCAAGGGAAATACCAATTTTGAACTACTTTTTACATATTATTTTGTTTAATTTATCCGTCCTAATTTTCAGATTATAAACGAATAAGGCTGCACCTTGTGGTCATTGATTTTTAGGCTACAGATTAAACTAATTAACATTTAATCAAAATCTTTATGACTTAAAGCAATCATTGCAAAATTTAACATTAAAAAATACAATTGGATGCAAATCTGTGTTTTTCGTAATTTTTTTAATAGTTTGTGCTTTAAATAAGGTAATAAAATTAAAGATTTGGGATACCAATTAGCAGACAAAAATAATTGAATTTGAAATCCATCCTTTAAATGAGGAAAAGATATATTTTTCCTTATTATTTTTATATTTTAAGGATTTTACTTGCATTCCGTTGTCACAAACCATATTTATTTTTAAGTACATACACCATATATTTAAAGAATATAAAGAATAAATCACTCACTAACACAATTCTTTTAAAAATTATTGTTTTAATTCTGATTTGTATTAATAAAGACTGGTACCAAAAATCAAATATTTACTTGGCAGAATTAATCACACTAAAACAAAAATCTTAAAACACGATTTTTAAGGTTTAACATATTATTAATAATGTTATACAAACACTCTTACTTTCTAATACGATGTAGCATTTTTTGTGATTTTTTATTAGGGGGTTTTTATTGGGCATTTTGAACATTTAAGTGCGATTTTGTTGTCTGACTTTTTGTAGACGATAAAATTGCCATGCGTATTCCCTGCTATTAAATATCGTTACAGCATTTTTTCCTCAAATCATACTCACTTTTGGCTCCAAGCGAATATCCTTTCTCCCGACGATTAATCAACAGTTTGTTGGCTGAAGACAATGCTGTTCTTTCACTTTTATTTGCTAACGACTTTGGTGAAGGGGCTCGCAGGGAACTGAGTGAATACACCCTGGAGATACAGATACTCGGGCACTGTATTTACGATCCACACCAATTTCAAATGCGCAATCGCGAATTCCACGCTGAGGTGAGCAAATTGCTCTGAATTATGTTGGTTTTCGCGATTACAGGGTGGCGACTCCGAAATCAATTCACAGTTTAATTAGCCGCTGCTTTGCACCTGCCCACCAAATTAAAGGGGGCTTTAAGCTTGGCGCTAATCCGTGGCTTATATCGAATGGATATGGATATTCGTACCTAGATCGGATCGGATTAACTGGTTAACTGTGGCAAGGCCCAAGGCGAACTAACTGCGCTGCCGCTGATTTTGGGCCTTTTATAAGGCCAGTCCGCATCCGAATCCGCTGGAGCGCAGGCGCCAGCAGAGACGCCGCCGTTGGAGCACGGAGGAGCCGGTTCGCGGCTCGGCTTGGTTCCACGCTGCTCGTACTCGCATCGGCGAGTGTGTAAATCAGATGTCTGCTCTGCCTGGCTTTATTTCTATGTGTTTTTTTTTGTCTTGGCCAAACTCCACACCGCTCCGCTCGGATCTGCGCTCTGCTCCAGTTTAAAAAACAAAAACCGCGCTGCCTGCCTTATGCTTTATGTAATTTATGTTCGGACAGTTGACGTTTTTGGCTAGGACTCGCATATCTGATGGGGACTGCACTCTCAACGTGTGCCTAATGTTATTGGTTATTGGTCTTTGCCATTCAGGAGGCAATTGAAATCGCGCAACCTGTCGACCTTTTTTAAGTGGGGAACGCAGCTGTGACCTAGAAAGCTTTTCTTTCGAAAATGTGTTTGTGTTTTTTTTTTCGGGGATTTCGAAATCAAGCGCCACAAACTTGAGTCGTCTCTGTGTCACTGGCTCTGCGTGACCGTCGTTATGGCTAATTGTTTTCATTAATTAAACTGGCCCCTCCGAGTCTTAGAGCAATATAATGTAATGTACAAAATTGGGGACACATTGGCGCCCCACAAAACTTAAATATTTTATTATTAATATGAACAAATTAGCAAAAAAAGCAGCAAATTTTTGCAAGAATAGTAAAATAAGTGAACTGTAACTTTAAATATGAAAAAATTCCCTTTAATTAGCTTGCAACTTAGCATTGCTTAAACATTAACAATAAATAGACATAAATAAAAGCTTCAAATAACCTTTCTCTTTCACTGTTTTTGCTCGATATTTAAATTCCCAAAAATAAAAGAATAATAATATATCAATTCCGATCCAGATTAATTTGTTTCTGGCCAGTAATTCTTTTAAAACAAAACATGATCTGAGGTCATAAATTAACACCCAATAGATATGATCAGCAAAAAGTAAAATGTGTTTATATAACGAAGTGTTCAAAAGTCGGCATTAATAAATTCTGCTCAAATATATATATATCTTTTTTTGTAATTATATACATTTATTTACTCCCGGGTAAGTCACCCATCAATATGGGAGAGATTGACACAACACAAAAAAGACACCCAAACCAAAACGAGTGGAACATTTAATGTATCTTGTTTTTGTGTTGTTTGTTCGAGGAATGTTTGCTGCTGTCTAAATCGATTGCATTTCCAAATCACTAAACAGTTTGTAATTATCTGACAACATTAACTGTCAGCAAAAATGTTTGGGCAACATAGTTGCAAAGAAACAAAACAAAAAAGAAGTGGTCACCAGATACAATAGTATCTGTCGGAACGATCGATTAAGAGTCCTATTCGTACTAAAAGGTTGACAAAAAATCAAGTATCACTCATAACTTGTTTCTTTGTTCATTTTTCTGGTTTGTGTTTGTTACAAATACATTTGTGAATAATTGAATCGATTTGACCGTCTATTAAACCCAAATAACCCACAGACCTGTTCTGTGCGTGGCGCGTAATTGCAAAATTAAATCGTTCTAATTGGCAAAATGGTCGCAGAAAGCGAAAAATCTAAAAATCAAAATCAAATTCCAAATCGAAATTCGAAGAAACCATAAAATTCATAGTATCCCCGTAACGGACAAATGTTGGAGTTTTAATGTTTTAGAGAGTGGGTACACGTGAACTGGTACATATGTTCAAACATGGGTCCACGAGACCGGTTGGAGCCTTGGAACATGTGACTTCACAGATCCGAATTATTGGGTGAGCAGGCGCGTGACTTACATTTTGAAACAGAAATATAAACTGCTTATGGACGAGTCACGCCCTTACCGGTTTCCAACTCCCACTCACATTAGGATGCATTTTTGAATTAGAATTTATGAAGATTATCACATACATTTTTGACATTATTACGACCGAAGCTGAGTGTCTTAAAACGTGGCACTTCTTCATATCATGGCAAATTCATATTTAATTTGATTGCAATATTTTGCAATAACAGCCTTTGATTTATGTGTAATTTTGTAAGACAGAAAAGGTAACTGGGTTAAACATTAGCATTGCATTACAGTTCCGTAACCAGTTTTTATAAAGTTCCTGTTAAGATACAAAAGTATATTCGTGCTTAATTAATCAAACCAGAGCAGAGTTTTGAATGCGATAATTATGCACACACTTGTTCGATATTGTATTCAATGGAAAGTAATTCTTGAGAACAGGAAGTGACCAAGATATGGGTTGGCAACAATTTCAATATTAAATTGGTAAAGAAACTTACTTAAATATTATACAATATATGGAAGGCAAGAAAGAATTATGTTCTAAGTAAGTTTCCTGAGTTCAAAAATACCAATCTGTCTGTCTTTTTTCTTTAATGTATAAGTATGAACACGGTTTAACATAAATGAAGGAATATTACACATAAATAAATAAATGGCAAAATTTAGCGTCTGCGGAGCTATCTATGATTTCAGTTGAGCTCAGTTTCAGACGCCACTATGCAGCCGGAACCAATAGAAATTCCGCAGGATCTTTGGTAGTCCTAGAAAACCTCATTGGGATCGCCATTTGACTGATCAGCCTTTTGCCTAGCCTTGGCCAACTTGGCTGACAGTTCCGAAGAGCGTATGGTTTTGTACTGCAAGTAAAAGGTTATATTTAAAGTATATTATTTTAATTTCAAAAATGATATCAAGTTACCTCGCAGAAGTTCTTTTGCAGCACAATCTGGGAGATGAGGCGACGACTCTCCCTCTGGCCAAAGTAACTTTCGATGGTGTGCGGGGACAGGGCAAAGATCTCCTCGCCGTTGAGCGTGTGAAGCCGCTTGATGATTGCATCCGAGAAGCCTTTACCACGTAGCCACTCCTCCACTTCCCGCGGCTTCGAGTACTGTGTGATGAAGATCTCCGGTGTCTTCAAGATTTCAAGATCCTTGCGTTTCTGTCTTTGCTGCAGAGCCACCCTCAGCTCATCATTCACATCATCCTGCAGATAGTAGGCCTCGTCATCGGCATCACAATCATTTCGGGCACGCATTGCTAAGGAAATTATAGATATAAAAATAAGATAGTTTAGACAATTGGATAAATTACTATTTCCCAGCAGACTGTTTTGGTTCCCATATTTCTTGGGCAAACAGTGGCTTTTATCTGGACTACATAAGGTCACAAATATCTTTGATAGTGACAAAGATAAAAAAATATGATAACAGCCTGGAAATCAGGCAAGTCCAAACTTTGTTTAAATAATAAATACATTTGTGCAAGTTTGCTTGTAAGGGAAATTTGTTGTGTTAAAAATCAGACGCACTAGAACTTGGTTTATTTATCTAAAACTATTTAGTACATTTTCTGTTTTTTAAAGAATTCTAAAATGAAACTTCACTCACCTGCCAAAGCTCCGGCCGCCGCCATGTTCCGCTTGAGGGTGCCGCTTGGTGTTGGTGGCTGACTGTCACTTGGTGGCATCGGTGGCGGAACGGGAACATTGGGCATCGAATAGGATCGCGGCATGGCTTTGCCATTGGTTACCGGCTCCACGGGAGCGGTGTACATGGCCATAGTATTGCGGTACAACGGGTTATTGGCATCTGCGAACTCGGCGCCATTCTCCACCAGAGCCAGCGAGGCCAAGGACTCGTTGTCCCGGCCATTTACTCCGGGCTCAAAGTTATACGGGGTAAGTACGGTGTGCGGCACGTAGCCAATGTTGCCGTAAGAATTACGAGCTTTCCACCAATTGCGGGAGTCGTCGATAATCTAAGTTTAGGAAAATATAAATATAGTTCATTAGATGACAAGATGACAAGATTATTTAAAACAATAACTAATCCGTAAGCTCTCTTAAAATAATATTGAATTGAAAAATATATTATATGTACATATATCAATATTTGTAAGTAATTCTTTTTTCGTTAAAAAATCATTTATTTAAAATCAGTAAACTTTCCTATGTTAGTTTTTGTTAGATTTATAAATCTGCACACTCAATTTAAAATTTAAAAAGATTCCAAATTTCTTCAAATTTTTTGACAATTATAACGAAAAATTTTGAAAATTTTAAAAAAGTTAAATATTTGCCGGATATAGCTAGATCGACTCGGCTTTTAATGCTGATCAAGAATATATATTCTTTTTAGGGTCGGAAATGTCTTCTGACTAAAATTTTAATACCCAGCAAAGAGTTGATCAAGATATCTAGATTTATGTCAAAATAAATGTATAAATTACGTATACGCAACAAGGAATATTGTAAAATTACCAACTTATTTATAATGTTTTGGCCTACAATAACATATTTAAAGTTTATTTAAAATATTGAACAAGATTATTAAAATTTATTTTTTAAAAACTGCAATTCTTAAGTAAAAATAAACTTATACATTACGTATACGCCACAGGGGACACTGTACAATTACCAAATTGTTTAGAAGATTATTATTATTTCAGCAAAAAATGTTTATATATATTTAAATATATATATATATATATATATATATATATATATATATATATATATATTTAAAATATTGAACTGGATTTTTAAAAGTTATTATGGAAAAAATTTTGATTTATGTCAACATGAAGTTATAAATTACGTATACGACACATGGGTTTACAATTACCAAATTATTTTTGAATAGTTTCAATCTTTAATTAAATCTTTAATTTCAAATTATTTATATCAAGTTTTAGTAATTTAAGATATATATACTAATGATAACTTACTATATTTAACTATACTCAAATATATTTTATATAATAAAGAAACTTGTATTGTAATATGTGTATTTTCTTGGTTTCTTAACTATCATAACTAAACCATTTCTTATGTTAGTTTTTATTAGGTTAACAAAGCTGCATACTCAATTTAAAATTAAAAAATTTTAATTTTTTTCACAAGTTTTGATCATTTTAACAATGTAAAATGCTGAAAAAATGATAAAATTTTGTTTTCTTCCGGAGATGGCTAGATCGACTCGGCTGTTGACGCTGACCAAGAATATATATGCTTTATATGGTCGGTAATGTCTTCTTGACAAGCTTCGGATTGAAAATATAATAGAAAGGAATAAAAATACAGAAAAAGCGGTGATTTCCCAAACTAAATATTTATGCCTGAATCACATTTATATTTCTACGAAATCGTTATATCTTTATTGAGCATGTTTTATCTAAGTCTATTGCTGAGGATGTAGTTTATTATCTTTGAGAGTTCTGTTGTCATAAAAACGCACTTACTAGAGTATAAAAATAGCAAAGATCAACTTAATATCTAAACTTGAACATACTCCTACATCATCTAAGATATTACAATCAGAAATCGCGTTAAGTCAAAATCACTTAAATATGAAATAAACAACACTTACGCAAAATGATCTCAATTTAAGTTATTTAGAAGTACTTAATCGCATTTTAAAAATCTCAAAACAATTATTTAATACCTGATTCCTTTTCAATTTATTTTTACATTTACTGTTTTAATACGCAACACATGCCTGATTTTATTCCAGTTTTGCTTTAATCTTTCTGGGTTATTAAGTGTCTGTATTTTACAGTGAATTTATGTGGGCTGCCCAAGCAGCATTGAATTTATTATAACAAAATAATAACAAATTGTGAACAGTGCTACTTACCTCCAGATACTCCCCCTTGGTGACCTTCAGCTCCTTGTCGTTGGTCGACTGCTTGTTGTAGGCCACCTCAGCGATCTTGACATTCCGGCTTTCGAGGCGACTCAACCAGGTGCGATTGCCGCCCTCTGGACTCGGTGGAATTGGAATAGGTACCGCCAATGGCGAGGGTGTATTGGTCTTCTTTAGTGCGGGAGCCAGGTACGGAACCTCCTCATCCACCACCCAATCGGGAGACCAGTCGTCGTAGAAGATTGGATGATAGGAGCTCTTATGATCCTTGAATTGATCCTTCGGCACCGTCCAGTTGGGACCTAGACTCTGCCACAGCTGCTTCTCGTTGGAGTCCAGGGCGCCGTTGAGAAAGGCAATCGTTTCCCTGCGCAGGAGGGGATTGACCACTGCCTCCGGTAAGCCTGCATCCACATAGATATCATTGCAGACGGTGACAATGGTGTTCAGCGAGATGAAAACATTATGAACCGGATCGGTGGACTTGCTAAAGTGATTCTGCAGTCGGACGGAGTAGATCAATGCCAGTTTAACCTTGGCCAGGATGTCATGAAATTCACTCTCAATAGGTGGACGGGATCGCAGGACTAAGAGTCCTTCGCCATGGGGATTGTGCTGCTCCTTGCGCAGCTTTAGCTCGTTGAGGGCCTCGGCCGCATAATGAAGTCGGGCCATGAAACGCTCAATGTCCTCGAAGCAGTGATTAATCACCTGCACAGCCCGCTCCGTTTGCTCCTTGTCCAGGGCGTTCTTTTCCGCTGCTATTCCTGCTACTGCAGCAGCGATTCCATACTGATCCTTTGCCTCATGGTTGTGGCTTCTGTCTGGCTTGGGTAGCAGAATGGGCGTCTTGTTGCGATCCACTGTAATGGGAGTTCCTTTGCTCAGCTGAAAAATGTGACAAATTTTTAATAGAAACATTTCATAATTCCTAATCTAAAAGTGAAGTTTAGTATTATGTGATAATCTGTCAATAAATTACTTGCTATAAGTTTATATGGCTTACTCACCGTTTTTAGATCCTCTACCAGATGCACTGAACTGACGTCGGCCACCTGTGACGTTTCAAGATAAGATTATGAATTCAAATTTGACGCTGACTAAATCCAAGTTGTGGGAATCTCACCTGAAAGATGTGCATTTCGGTGTTGCCCAATGAAATGCCGGGCACCGAGAATATCAGGATATTATTGTACGCCTCCTTGGGATCCTCGCTAATGAAGGCCGTGGGCTCTGTGATCAGGCTGCCCGGGAAGTTCTCAATCTCCTTCATCTCACTGTCGAGCATCACCAACCACTGGCCATTGAAGCTCATGAACATCTTGTGCGGCCAGATACCTCCAGTCTTGTCCAGTTCGATCAGCAGCTTCATCTTCTCCTTGGGCTGCTTGATCTCCGCCTCATTCTTCAGCTTGAAGGTGGCCAAGTGCTCCAGGGCATAGGTGGGTTTGATTTCGTTATAATGCCCATTGGTGGCCAGGTCGCCATTTGGGATTCCATTTTCGTAGCCGTTACGTGGCATCCTACAAGGTAAGGAAACGGGAAGGTCTTAGCTAAATTATTCTTGAAAATGTTATATATTATTCCCTCTTTTTAATTCCAAATAAGCCACTATAGCCATATTTTTTAGCAATTGTTGGCAGGAGAAAATGGAACTGCGCACTTCTTCGCCATTTGTATGCCTTGTCTATTTGCTTTCTATATTTTCATTTACGATAACACTACATTTAAACAAATACATGTAAGCAACAATAATGGTCAATAAATTGTTACAGTGTTTGCATTTGAGGCTTCTGAGAAAATATAATATTATTTTTCTAACTTTATAAAAGGGGGGAACACCGTAAAAAAACTTTTATCAGCCATCGCTATCCATTTATTTTGGTTCCCCATAACGGTCTGATTACTACTTCTATTTTAGGGAGATTTTAAGCTATTCCAAACTAAAGTCTTTCAATAAAGTTTTCTTATGAAGAACCCAACATTGAAGGAACTCTCTGTCTGTATTAGAAAACATCCCCTTACTTTTCAAAATTTACTTGAGCTTCAATTTGAGTTGAAGATGACTCATCTCGCTTTTAATTTTCCAATTTATATACCAAATCCCACACTTTGTTGTCAGGTGTAGTAGGATTATCTAACACTGCGGCAATATCTGCTATAATTTCCTGTCCATCTTTACCAATATTTACCCATTTATCACCGCGATGGGTCGAAAGTATCTCAAGGTTCTATTGCCTGCTTTGACCATTGCGATTCTAGTGTTGTGCAGTCAAAGCCTTCTGGGAAACTATTATTGATTCCCGATACCCGAGTGGACATTGGGATAGACGCCACTTGACAGAGATTCACACCTGTGCAATGTACTACATATTGGCTATTATATGTATATATTTACGTACAAACTCTATTTCCTCTGTGTGTGGTAGCTACCTGCCCGATTAGATAAACGCAATTAGGCACTGACTTTGCGATTGCCTTTGCTTTCTGCTTTTGCACCTTTACTTTTGCAGTTATCACAGAGCCAGGAAATTCTTGGCACATGAAGCAATCATTAATGGTAGGCTCATTACATAAAGAGCCGAATATAATAATGGTAGTATCCGTATTTTTAACCATGATTAGTGCATGACTGAGATTCATTTATGGCTTTCGCTGGCATGACATCAGATCCTGAGATACTCCGTATCTTTTGGATCTTGATTTACGAGTCGAGATCGATCTGGTTGGTTACCTTGCTGTTCACACGGTGGCCCACTGTGATGGTTATTTATTTGATAGTAAGACTCTACTAGTATTATTTATCTATTTGTAATTGTGTTTCAGATGGCCCGAACTCGCACTCTCGACCCGCTGCGAATCAAATTCGAATACCAACTAACCGCCGACAGTGGGCCCATAGGGAATTGGCCATATCAGCTGGCTCCTCATTAATTGATTGCCTGAAATTGTTACCTTTTATTTATTTTTTTTCGGCTGGCTGGCCTTATCGCAAAAGCAAAAGTGTGCCTTATCTCGCTGTTCTGCGATTGTGCATCATATCGCTCGATACAATACCCATTGGCACTTGGAGCAATCTTATCGCGTGGCGGAGAATAACAGAAACAAATGTATAAATATATATATAGAGAGAGAAAAAGAGGGTCGAATGGCGCTGTGCCTAGTTCTTTTATATCAGCGGCAGAAGGTGATCGCATCAAATGGTCAGCAGCTGACCCTGGGGCCACCGACAAGTAAATATTCGCTATCAGGCAGTTGGAATTTTAGAGAGTTTCCCCGCCACAACATTTCCACATTTCTGGCATATTTGTGCCAAGCGACAACTTAAGTCGGGAATTAATGCATTATTATACAGTGTCTTGTGCCTGTAAACTTATATTTTTAAGTCTGAAAAGGTATAATTTGCATAATGTCTAAAAATACACATCAAAATGAATCATAACAAATACTTAAAAATGGCAAAAGGGAAGCTCTTCTTAGGCGTTTATATGAATTAATAAAAATAAAATAAAATTTTAGGCAGATTTTCTTTTAAGTTATTATTTGTTAATCAATTTAAGTCATCCATTATCTTAAATTATCTACATTCCAAAGTTGTCTGGAGTTTTTGCTTAATTATAACTCATACATTAAAAGGTAATTTCCTATTGGGCCATCAATAACTTTCTTTTTTAATAAATAAAAATATATTTAATTACCATAATTGTTAAGGGTAAAATAATATTTGCATAAAAGAAACCCTCTCTTTATGGCTACAATGTTTGCTTCTAAAGGTCTGGGGAAACATTTTTATTCATTTGTTGGCCAATAAGTTTTATTGGTGCTAATTGTGACATTCTCTGCCTTTTATTGGGGCCCGCAAACTAATTCACGTAATATCAGAAAAAAAGCGACCCTCATTACAGTTGAAAATGGGAATTTGTTGAAAATGGCAATACACGTATCACACTTGCAGCAACACTTTCTGTAACGACTGAAATTACAGCATTATTGCGTGTCTCTAACGATGCAGCTTCTGAATTGAGTATTATAATTTTTTCAGTAAATAAGCATTAGTTTGTTTATTCTGAATGCATGAATTTTGCAATTTCCCAACTAATCTTTATGCATTAACAACTAGAATGTTTGTTTTCGAGGTATTTATTGAGCTCTAAATCAGATTTTCTTTCTTGGGACTTAGGAACATAATAATCTAAAATCGTTTTGGTGACTTTTTCGTATCTTCCTTAGACCACATCGTCGCAGGCTACCAGTTGATTGCTGTAAGAAAACACACAAGAAACCATAATTATGCTTGTAGATAATTGCTGTTGCCGAGCTTATCACTCTGGTACGCAGGTTAAATATCAAATGGGAATCTAATTTTCTATCATGTTGAGTCACAGCCCAGACAACCGCTGACAGGTTATCTATTGCGGGTAATGATTGAATGGCAAAAACCTATACATACCTGGCGGATGGCAACTGGAAGATATTTTGGGGCACAGCTCTAACATCCGAGTTCAGGCAGAGGAGCTTGGAGCCATTGAAATGGCGATATTCATGGAGGAGAGAGTCGTGTTTGTGGTCCGACTGTTCCCTATGATGTTGGTGCACATTCCAGAATTGTTCACCTAAAAAATATGGAATAAATTATTAGAGTAAATATATAATTTTTTATATGGAAAAACTTACCTAGTATGCAGCTAAAAGTGCGACCAATGGCGCCGCTTACAGGACGCTCAGAAATTCCACCCACAATCAGATCTATATCTTGCCAGCTTGAATATATTGTTTTCAGCTTGTCCAAAACCTTTTAAATGAATTTACAAATAAATTATTAAAATTAATAAAATATGTGAATAAATTAAAGGAAAGTGTTTAACAACTTAGTTGTTGTTTTCTAAGTACACTCAAGTATAGTTTGTTATCTGATAAAAATGGTTTTAAAACCCGAACCTACATCATTGGGAATAAAGCCTTCAAAGTCTTTCCAGCTATTTACGGGTCTTAGTAGGCTGCAGGTTTCAAAGTACTTGTAATAAGGCTGCAGGCCATGATCCCTGCCTCGTTGAATGTCAAAGGCCAGGATATCCGTATGGGTAGGTTTGGTGTCCTTGTGCCAGACCACCTGGAAAAGGTTTTATAATAAAGTCTTCAAACCCAAAAGGATAAGAATTCTTCTCCTTACATCACCAGCATAGGCAGCATCCATTTTCATTGTACGCTGATTGAGCAAACTTTCGAGGATCTCGTTCAGCTTCTGAGTTGTATATTGCAGCCGCGGTTTGTAGATTTCTTCTTTGAGTTGAAAAAGGTTTGTGGTGGGTAGGTTGTTCCTAAAATGTAGAAAATTCATAGATTATAGAGTTCTATATGTAAAGTAGCAACTTACTCATCCAGTTTATTATCCTTGACCAAATTCCGCAATTCATTGGGCAGCATGGAGAAATAGAACCTAATGGCGGCCACTCCGAACTCATTGGAGATCTCTTTTGCTCGCTTATTTCTGCTCCTTGCTTCGGCTGCCAGTTTCTCTCCCAGAACCTCTGGGAGCCACTCGTCTATGACCACCCGCCGATAGATATCCACATTCACCGCCTTGGCCGCCTGGAAGAGCTGCTCATCACTCCACCTGTGTTTCCTATCACTCAACTCCCTGGCCAGGCGGTTATGGTTGCGCATGAAAATCGTATAAATCAAAATGGAGAAGGGACTGCTGTTCACCCGGGAATCGCCAGCAGCAAAACAGGTGGCATTGCCAGTGGCTCCCCAGGCACAGAATGAGTGTCCCAGATCCTGGGTATCCGTGGTCATGGGTAGCAGGACATGATGACGCTGACCAATCGATGTGGATTTCAGGAGGCCACCTCTAAACAGTCTCATTTTCTGCTCCGCAGCCGAGGTAAAACCATAGAGTTGGGACAGGTCCAAGGATGCAGTGGCCTGGTTCAGCTGGGGAATTACAATATTATCAATATTATTTCCCATGATCTAGTACTGGGTGCCTCACCTGCTCGGCGCCACCGAAATTGCAATCGGCCACGGCCAGCGCACTCCGCACATAGTTGAGGCAGCTGGGCACGTCGTATTTCCCACTGGGCTGGTACAGAATTGGAGCACATGCCGGGTGGTGGTGGCGGGGCTGAAGGTTATTTTGGTCACGGCTGCAGCACTCGATGGGTGCTCCGGTGCCTTGGGAAAACAGAAGTCAATAATTGAATTTTATTAAATAAATAGGGCCAGCTTTAATTGATCGATTATTGGGATTTGTTAAAAGTGTTTTTCAAGCTCTTGAAATTAAACTTACTCATCGATTGTGAAACGGGCTTGCTGAGATCGTGCTCCACAAACTGGGCCCACTGAGCCAGACCCAAATTCAAATGGGATTTCTCTTCGGCGATTAGTTGTTTGGCTTTCTGGATGGTATCCGGTTCATAAAGCGCCTTGCTAATGGACCAGGCAGGCGGCAGGCTGCTGACAGAGCGACCGGTTTCGGGAAACATCTACAAGGATTGGGTAATCATATCACTTCCTTAAAGATATATTAATTATAATCCTTCCCACCTCATGAAAGCCATTTCTGTAGTGCGGCTCCAGCAAGCGTCGGAAAGCATGATGACCCTCTCTGTTTCCTGAGAGCAAGTTCAAGCACTCCTCCCTTAAGCTGCTGCCCACGGGCAGGGGTATGTCTTCCAGATAATTCCTACACTCATCTCCATCGATACCATGGCTCAAACATTGACTATTGTACACATACAGGCTAGACTTCAGGATCTTAAGAGCTATTTCGCTGTCCTCCTTCGAGGCTCCATTGGGCAAAGTGTCCAAAAGTTGAACGTGCGAAATGGTGCCATTCTGGACAGTAATATCAGATTTTAAGAGATTTTCCTCAAGTCTATAAAGAGGTAAATTAAAGGAATATATTATAAGTATGCCAAAATGTTTGGAAAACATAAATAAATAATTGTTAAGTTGTGTTTATTATTAAGAAATAAACAAACCTTTTTTGTCTGTTCAGAGAATCAATTCCAGAGCTGACGAATTCCAACCATTTCGAAGACGGAATTCCATTTAAGTATGCTATGGCTTCATTACTTATATCAGTTCTTGCTAAAAATTATATTAAAAGTAATGCATAAATTATTAAAAAAGATATATTCTGTTATCGTAAGAGTTAAAGGTAAATAAAAGTGATGAAAGCAAGCTTTAAAAAGTTCCACACGTTTTGTATTCTAATAAACCTTAAATGATGGTGGGAAAATCTTTTTAAACTCAATTAAAATACGTTTTACCAATTAGGGAGGAATGATTTATGCCGCTGGAATATTCCACAAATGAAGCGCTGTCAACACTTTAATCAAGACTATTATATTACAAAGGTCAGTGCAGTTCGCAAAAACAAATATGGCTTTTGGGGATTTTTATTGATCTATCTGATCATTATCAAAATCAAAAGTATAGGGACATTCCCGCATCACTAGAAAAGGTTATTAATACACATACTTGCTAACAAATGTTAATTGAAATGCATACAATCATATATAAATACTCAATTTGCTTGTAATCAAAAATAAATCATTGATTGGAATTGCCACGCCTTCACAAATCTATTTAGAGCTGTTTGTAAACATTTGGTCTATAAGTATTTTTTATTTTTCTAAGTGATAAGCAAAACACTTCTGTGTGAAATGTTCAAGCGATAATTTAGGAATTCCCATTAGGTTCATAATGGGTCTATTAACAGGAAATTTATATATTTTTGACTTTAGTAACTGACGTTACAGGGAAGAAGTGCAGTCATTCATGGTGACATAACACGTGAGCTTCGACAAAAAAGAGAGAGGCTACTTTTTGCTTTCCAGTATCGAAAATCAAACAAGAAGTGGGCTTAAAGTTATTATTTATCATATACCAATTAAAATCAAAATCATAAATTGATTAAATAACATTTAACGGCTTCCTGATAATCCAAGAAATAAATGTCTGTAACCCATTGACACTTTTATTAGTGTGATGAACTGAATAGCTTAAACAAGCTATAAAATCAATAGTCATTAATTCAACCTATTAGATTCACCGCATTCAGGTTTTGTTGTGGTGTCGCATATGATATTTGTATAAAAAAGTATTTTATCAACAACACCGGCTGGCAGTGATACAAATAGTATTTAGATTCTTTAATTTTATAAATAATATATTGCTAGCTGACAAGCTTGAATAAGAACTTTAAAATTATGTTTTTTTTTTTTTTTTTTGCATTAATAGCTTACAAAAATAGTGCTCTTGATAATATATCGTGATCTGACTTACGATTTGGGAAGGCAAAACTTGTAGCATCGCTTATGGAGGGCAGTATTGATGCTCCTATTATAAGAGCCAGCAGACAGATGCACTTGTCCCCAGCCATTGCACTGTTCTTTGTTCCAGAATACAGAGTTGTCAGGGCAAACACATGGGCTGTCGGCTTCTGATTCACAAAATCCACAAGCCACGGCAACACGTCAATGAAATTTAAGTCACGTCGCAAGCGACTGATAAGGAAGTAATTCGAACTGCGACTCTGGCTGGGCTCCCCGTGCTATTTCGTCCGTACTGTTTTAATAAACCGTGTCGATGGCTCAGCAGCTCATAGACTACTGAGATACGGTCTGATCTCGCCGGAATCACAGCCGCTCAGCCAGATCATTATTACGCATAATGGAAGCTCATCATCTGACTTGGGAGCTTGTTCTCTCGGCAGAGCAAAAAATCGAACAAACCGTAAACAAATGTTATTTTTGTTATTTGGCGCACGGTGAATCAATTCGTGAGAATGTTCTTCCCAAACAAAAAACAGAACAGCGCCAACGTAATATGTAAATGACGACCACACCTGGAAAGATATATATTATATACTGATATAATACACAATATTTAAAGTTAAATTTGACAGCCCGCCTTTATCTTAAGAGGTGTCTAATCAAAAACTATGGCTTGGACAATTTTAAAATATTTTAGAATGTCCCTAGCGTTTTTTTTAACGTATACTTAAAGTTGCCCATTTTGGTTTTCTTGGAAACAAAATCAAATTATTGTTGGCGGGAAGTCGGACGATAACGATAATTAGCCATCCGATTATATTTATGCACCGATTGGGTCTAGGCTAAGCCCATCTCTTATCAACATTACGATAGTGTTATCGATATTACAATCGATTTTAGTTCCACCTCTAGCCAGTTTTACCAAACAAGCGTTTTCCAAAAAATAAATTAAATTTGATCAATAAAAGCGAAGAATTTCAGCAGCCATGCCAGCTTTAGACGCGGAAGCCAACGAGGATCAGTTCAGTAATGACCAGTCCAAGCCAATGTCTGGGCCCATTGTCGGCATCATCTATCCGCCGCCGGAAGTCAGAAGCATCCTTTGCCAAAAACCGAATAATGTTTACACAATTTTCCATATTAAATACTAATCAAAGTCACAGGTTTAATGCGTTTTCCCATGCTCAGTTAGCAATGTTATAACTAACAGATATCGTTGACAAGACCGCCAGCTTTGTGGCACGCAATGGACCGGAGTTCGAGGCCCGTATCCGACAGAATGAGTTGGGCAACCCGAAGTTCAATTTTCTCAATGGAGGCGATCCCTACCACGCCTACTACAGACACAAGGTCAACGAGTTTCGCGAGGGCAATGGTAAGTCTGGAATATTTACTACTAAACAGGTCTTATTCATGTGATGTCACATCCTAACTAGATGCCGGGATCACGGCCATAGCCGGCATGAAGCAGCTGGCGGTGACTAGTGCCGCCCAACAGCGACAGCAGGAGCTCTTGAAGCAGGTAGTGGAGCAGCAGTTTGTGCCCAAAGAACCGCCGCCGGAATTCGAGTTTATTGCCGATCCGCCCTCCATTTCCGCCCTGGATTTGTAAGCTTCCCGTGCTCAGCCACCTACAACGCAAATCTTATTGTTTTCTCTTTCCAATCAGGGACATTGTGAAGCTAACAGCTCAGTTTGTGGCCCGTAATGGCCGCCAGTTCTTGACCAATCTGATGAGCCGTGAGCAGCGCAACTTCCAATTTGATTTCTTACGGCCCCAGCACTCGCTCTTCCAATACTTCACCAAGCTGCTGGAGCAGTACACCAAGGTTTTGATTCCGCCCAAGGACCTGCTGGGCAAGCTCCGGGCAGAGAGTGCTCCGGGCAGGGCAAGCATGAACCAGGTGTTAGAACACGTCAAATACCGGGCCAACTGGCAGCGCCACCAGGAGGCACAGCGTCGCCGCGAGGAGGAGAAGATCGAGAGGGAGCGTGTAGCCTACGCCCAGATTGATTGGCACGACTTTGTGGTGGTGGAGACTGTGGACTATCAGCCCTTCGAGTCTGGCAACTTCCCGCCGCCCACCAATCCCGACGAGGTGGGTGCTCGCGTGCTCATGGAAGAGCGCCTTATGGAAGAGGAGGGCGACACCGAGATGCAGATCGAATCGGACGACGACGATGACGCCCATGTTAGCAGCCACTTGGAGAGCGGTCTTAAGCTTTCGCAGATGGAGAACCGTGTGGGCATTCAGATGAAGAACGTGTCATCCTATAGCCAACCAACGGGTGCCAAGCGGGATAATACCCAGGTACAAGACATGGACGAGGCCTCCAGCGACGAGGACACTCCAACGACTAAGCTGCAGCCATCGGTGGCACCCATGCTGCCGCCCACTCATGACAAGGTGGTGGTCAAGAAATACGATCCCAAAGCCACGCAACCCAAGCCGGCGCCTATGCCCACGGACGAATACCTCATCTCACCGATCACAGGCGAGAAGATCCCGGCCTCCAAGGTCTCGGAGCATATGCGTATCGGTCTGCTGGATCCCCGCTGGGTCGAACAGCGCGACAAGCACACCGTCGAGAAGATCAACCAGGACAACGTATTCGCCGCAGGCACTGCAATCGAGGCGAGTCTCAAGCAGTTGGCTGAGCGTCGTACCGATATATTCGGTGTGGGCGATGAGGAAACAGTTATTGGCAAAAAGCTGGGCGAAGAGGAGACCAAGAAGGACGACCGCGTGACCTGGGATGGCCACACGTCCAGTGTTGAGGCCGCAACGCGTGCTGCCAGAGCAAATATCACGCTAGAAGAGCAGATCCATCAGATTCACAAGGTCAAGGGTCTGCTGCCTGACGAGGAGAAGGAGAAGATTGGGCCCAAGCCGGTGGGCAACAAGGCCACGCTCTCGGCACCACCACAGCCGTCGACAAGGTCCCAGACCAGTCACTCCAGCCAGAGCCAACACCATCAAGGTGGAGGCGGCGGTGGTCATCACGGCCACCATAGCATGCACCATCATCATCCGCCGCAGCAGCATCAGCAGCCGCCTCAGCATCCGCCCCACCACCATCCTCAGCAGCCAACACAACCTGTAATGGCGCTCATGCAACTGCGTCCACCGATGATGCGTGAGTATACATAATAACTTACCATCCCATCCTAGAATTAATGAGTTTATTGTTTTCGCAGAACCGCCCTATGGAGCTGGCGGTGGGGGCTACATGAACATGCAGTCGGGTGGCGCACCTCAACAGCTGGCACCAGCTCCGCCGGTTGATTTAATTGAGGAAGAGCCTCCAGTCAAAAAGCTGCGTTCGGAGGATAACCTCATACCAGAGGCCGAGTTTATTGCCTCACACAAGGTGAGTTTTTTAGGCTAAAAACTAAATGCTCTCCAGAATTATTTAAATATTTAATTTCTTTATTTTCCAGAGTCCTGTAACTATTCAGGTTCAAGTGCCCAATTCCGACAAATCCGAGTGGAAGCTAAATGGCCAAATGATAGCCGTAACTATGGCCCTATCTGAGCCCATCACCAATCTCAAGACGAAGCTTCAGGACGAAACCGGTATGCCGCCGGCCAAGCAGAAGATCTTCTATGAGGTAAGATAAATGCGAATTCATCTCAAAAATAAGGACTACCATTACAAAATATCGTTTTTCAGGGCATGTTCTTCAAAGATAGCAACACGATGGCTTTCTACAATCTGGTAAACGGAACCACAGTGCATTTACAGGTCAAGGAGCGTGGTGGCCGTAAGAAGTAGACCGAGAATCAATTAAAAGACCACTCCACAACCAATTAGGAATGCTCCATATGTAGACATTTATTTGTATATGGGTTTTCGCATAAATTTGTAATAAATCGTCAATCACAGAATTATGTTAATTGCACTTTAGTTCTTTCAATTTCAGGTGGAGTTAAAAATTGGAGTGTGAATTTTGGGAATGCAGTGGAGTACAAAAAGGAATGTTTAGTCTAAACGTCTGTCTTTCCCAAGATGCGGGCCATATCGCGATATCGCAGCAGCATGGGAGCGTAGATGTCCTCACTGTCCTTGTGTGGCTCGCACACGAGCTGCAGTTTGTTGGGCGTCAGACTTAGAACGTAGTCCCTATAACTAAGCGGAGTCGTCTCCTCATCCAGTTCGTGCCTGTAGATAGCATAAGCGGCTCTAAAGGCAGCTCCCATCAGGGCGGCCTCGCTTTCAGTCTGCAAATGATAGGTTTAAAGTCACCAGTAAAGAAAGAAAAATTAAATAAGCACCTGAATATGGACGGGGGCATTGAACACATCGGCAATGGTTTGCAGGATTGATTTGTTAACAGATGCACCGCCGGTGGCAAGGATTTGAGTCTCGTTGCCAAATCGGAAGCCCATGTCTTCGGCAACTGCGCGATGGTGCAACATCTGGCCCTCAATTAAGGCACGAATTTCAATTTGAGGCGAGCTGAACCTGCGGAGTATAAGAAAATTAATTAAAACACTTTTACTAGCTATAATAGACTTACTTGATAACGCCCTTGGCGGCATCCGGTGAGCTCGGCACGCTATCCTTATTCCATCGCAGTGTGCCCTTCGCCTTGGGAATTATCTCCATTTCATTAAAATGAACGGCCATGTTGCCAAAGTTTCCACGTGGCGTGGATTCGAGAAGTTCGTTGAATTTTTGCCAATCACCGCCGGCCTCCGTCTTGTTCATTCCCTCCCGGATCAGGGAGCCATTTCTGAAACTATAAAGGGTATGCAATACATACAAAATCGATTGCTTTGAGTATAAACTTACCATAGGAGCCCCATGTATTCCTTCGTCTCGGTTGGATGACACAGTACGTGGCCCTCCTCCCAGTTAAGGGGCTCCTTCATGCTCATCATCAGCGTGTCGCTGGTACCGAGAGAAATGCTGAGCCAATTGCTGTCTACCAGCATGCCAGCTAGAGCCGAGGGATTGTCACCCGTGCAGGCAACAACTTTGCAATCGGCAGGGAAACTGAATCGCTTTACAAAGTACTCGGAAATTGTGCCCACAATCGTATTGGGACTGGCAGCCTGACCCAACCGCTCGTCCAGATCAGGGGCACAGGCATTTAGGCAGGCCTTGGACCAGTTCTTCTCGCGAATGTCCAGCAGATTCATTCCGGAGCCATCACTGAAGTCAATGGGAGCCACGGCGCCGAGAAATAGCGAAGCCAGAAAGCTGCTGACTAGTGAGATTCGTTGGGCGTCTTCGTAGGCGTGCGTTCGCTGCTGATATATCTTTCGGATCTGAGGTCCTGTGAAGCGTTCGTAGCACTTGGAACCCGTTATCTCCACCATGCTGAGGTGGCCTCCAATGGCCGTCTCCATTTCCACGCATTGTTTCGTCGTAGACGCGTCCATCCAAATGGGCGTTCGGTTCACGACAAAGGCCGAGTCGTCGATTTGTGAATGGAGGAACTTGTCGGGATCTAGGTTCTGTAGTGAGGCAATGCCGTGCTTTGACCAGTATAAGGATCCGTGCTGCTGTCCAGAGCCACTGATTGCCGCTACGGTGCTCAGGTCAGCCTCCTGCATCACTAAGCGGTCCAGGACAATGTCCATGGCCTTTACCCACATTACGGGCTGCACAAAGAACCTAGATATAGAGGGAAAATTAGGTGAGAAACTTTATTAAAGACTCAGGACTTTATTAACTTACTCATTCTTGTTGGGTCCTGGGTTGGCTCCGCCCACGGTCCGGAACTCTGGCAAATCGCTGTCGAATTTTACTTCCGCCGAGGCCAGCACCTCCAAGCTGGAGTTTACAAGGATAGCTTTGAGCTGGAAAGGGGAAATGGGACAGCGAATGACGATACAGACGAAGACACACCTTAAAAATAACGATCAAACACAGAGGGCAACTAGGAGTCACCGCTGGCGTCATTGCGGAATTGTGAAAGTTATTGGGGTGGTTAAGATAGTGCGACGGGGGCCAATCCGCCGAACGCGAATTTTAATAATCAAACGCTAATAGTTAAATTATTGTGTGCGCGCATGGGCTTAGCAGATAAGCGGGAAGCGAGCCCCGCCAATGGGCCACTGATAAGCAGTGTCGTAAATGCTTCTTGGGAAACAGGTTCCATTCCGATCGAGGCTGCAAGTTCCGTGAGAGATGACCTTTTTAATAACCGCATTCCCACGCAGACAAAGCGAGATGGAAGTGGTGCTGGGGACGCCTTCACATCTCGCAGATACAAAGATACTACGTAGGCAGCTACCGTTCTGGGGCTTTAGTCACCTTTTGGGTGCTCAGGTCGAAGCCTAGGAAGGCGCGTTTCAGCTGCTGCGGTCCCATAATAACTCTGCTTCCGGTTCGCTTAGATGCCAGCTGTAGTCTGCCAGTCGGATCTCCCTCATGCGGCGCTAGTACTCCCGATTCTACGGGTTATATAGCCGGAATTGCCGAGATAAGGTTTTGTTGACGAATTCGGATGGAATGGTGTGACCGTTCTTGTTATTGCGAAAACCCTTAACGGATTTCCCTGGCAACGCACTGAAAACAAAATTTGCTTATTGAAACTACATTTCGGAGTTAATAAATTTAAAAGAAAAAAAAAGAAAACACGTTTTTGGAAAGTGTCATGGCTCTAGAATATGTGTTTTGTTGTTATTGATATAATTTGGCAAATTTGATCTCCAACCATTTGATAATTCTTCACACGTGTACGTCCACCTAATGTTCTATGACAAACACCAGGATTTTTGGCTGACTATCGAACATGAAATTTTATTTACATTTATTTCTCCTGGGACCATTTCTGCTGTAGCCTTTGAGTGTTAATTATGTTTCTTTTCTATTTCCAGTTTATATACTTGAGTTAAAGTAAGAATTAATTATATTTAACGTAATTTTCTTCTGGAATCTTTATTATTAGAGGAACCAGTTCACGTTCCGAATTTAACTCATCTCTATCGATAGGTGGATTTCGTTTTGTAGGTGGTTGTGGTGAATAAACAAAAGTATATAAACCCATTTAGTTCATATCTGTATATATATATAATATTATATATTTTGTTTTTTATTTATTGCTGATCCAGTTCGCGGTAAAAACAGCCATGATGTAGAGATGGAAAAACACCGATGTTATTAGCCGATGTATCGACTTTACCTTTTCGATATTTATATATATTTTTCACATCCCTAGATCAGCCCTGAAATTGCTAATAATTGAAAAAAATTAAATTTAATACAAGTGTTAAATAGGTACGATTTGGAGAACATGTCACTAAACTACGAGGAGATGAGCTGGTCGGGTGAGTTTTCCGCTTTTACCGGCTCCGCAAGATGCGGGTCCACGTCAGTAATCCAATTGGCATGTGGATGAAAATTGTAGCAGAGCATGAATGAAAAGTTGACGACCCTAATCCGTTCACCCTTTGCAGATGTGCGGGATCAGTTCAGGAAGTGGCGCGAGGAGACCGGCCGCCACAGCGAGGAAGTGGTGCAGCTGTGGGTGGCGGTGCTGGAGGACAAAGTGCACAAGACCGGCAACGAGCGCCACCTTATCTTGGAGCAGGTGATCATCGCTGCTTTGGACACTGCCCGTTTCGACATTGCCACCCAGTGCACCAAGCAGCTGGCACTGGAGTTTCCTGGCAGCCTGCGCGTAATGAAGTTCAAGGCGATGCGGTACGAGGCGTTGGAGCAGTACGACGAGGCGGATGAGGTGTTAGATGCCATAATTGCCAAGGACGAGACCAATGCCGCGCCCCGAAAGCGTAAGATTGCCATTCTTAAGGCCCGCGGTCGACGGGCAGAGGCCATCAAGGAGCTCAACGAATATCTGAAAGAGTAATGAGTAACAGATTGGAAGAGTCCCAGTACGGTTTAAAAATGTATATTTCCGCAGGTTTATGTCCGATCAGGAGGCTTGGCATGAGCTCTGCACCTTGTACCTGGCTAAGGGCGAGTTCGGCAAAGCAGCTTTTTGCATGGAGGAGGTCCTGCTGCACAATCCCCACAGCCATCTGATACACCAGCGGCTGGCAGAAATTCGCTACACAATGGTGAGTCTTTAAGCAGTTATATTTTATCGTAAACATTTTTAACAAACCTTTTTTTCCTCAGGGCGGCGTCGAGAATGTGGAATCTGCTCGAACTTACTACTCCCAGGCCCTGAAGCTCAACCCCCACAATTTGCGTGCCTTGTATGGGATTTACTTGTGCTGCAACTACTTGGCCAACTCGAGAGCTGTTAGCTCTAAGCGCAAGGAGCTGCAAAAGCTGGCACAATGGGCCCTGGATCAGGTTTCGGAGCACACGACCAAACAATCCACAATCAAAAACAACGACAAACTGATTCTGTCACTGGAGGCTGCCTTAGGAAACATGGAAATCAAATCGAATTGACCAACAAAAGCACTAATGGATATCAGACCATTCGTGCAATAGATGCCAGAAAGTAATGATTCCAAATATTCTCAGAAATGGGTTTTCAGTTTGTTTCTTAAGCGAAAATAACATAGATAAAGCATTAAAAGAAGCGGGAGTTAACAAATATTTTATTGTCAGTGCATCCGAGCTAGTATTTTTTGATGTTAAAGAATCGGTGACGGCTTCGAACTCGGATTTATAGCCTTGAATATGTCGGGTATGCAAAAATAGTTCTGTAATAAATTTAGAGAAATTAATTATCAGAGATAGCTGGCCTTCCTTTCACACCCCTTGAGATGCAATGAAAACCCAACGTTTGCTTTCTTAATTTACTGCTAACTTTATTTTATATCTTTTTGGGTGACCTCCATTTCGAAAACAAGAGCACACTTAATCAGGCACACGAATTGATGCAACATTAATCGGACATTGAACGGCATTCACAATGCTGTTAAAACGAGCACAATATTTACTCAGAAGATAGGTGCCATTATACTATACCCACTGTTGATCATCTCATGAGTCCATTGACTCGCTTTATTGTAAAAATTGCTTCAATGCACTAGATTAATTCTCACTAGGCTCGTGCATGTCCAACATCGTCATACATCTGCATATTTATATACGTGCACTCGGTTCATGGCATGTATGTGTATATATTTCCATGCATCGTACTGTAGGTGCAATCGACGACTGCAGGGCATCCGAGGGCAGCGCTGATAGTCCAGCGGACGGCTAAAAATAGTCCAACAATGGGACTGAATGCAATCTACTGAATACCCCTCTCACCCAGCCATCGCCAGTGGACTTCAGTTTGTGGAGGAGCCGTTGGCGTAGGTCCGTCCGCTGTGCGATTTCCTTGAATGCTTCACACGAAAGAAGTCCTTGAAGGTGAGAGCGGGTGCAGTATGTGGCTTCTCTGAGTTGCTGGTGGAATCCTGACCGTGTCCCTGCGATGAGGAGAGCGCCGTGTGCCCTCCACTCCCGCTGTTCAGGCAAACCGGCAGTCCGTCGAGGTATTTTAGATGTGGCAGGACCTGCAGGGTGTAGTCCCGAGGACCCTGACTACCGAAGACAGTGCGGATACCAGGATTGCCCATGCAAGAGAGCTGCTCCAGCGAAGGACACTGCCGCTCGATGCGGTGTATCCAGTCAGTAATGTTGGCTATATCGCAGTTGTTGATCCTGGAATATTAAAATGTTAGTTATGGTAACTAAAAAAGCATGTAAAGATTCATTTAGTCACCACAAGATCCTCAGACTCGGCAAGTATGGGAATGTATTGATGTCTAGATTCACGTTGCGGTCCAGGATGAGGGTGTCCAGGTCCTCAAAAAATGAGAGAAATTTGAGATTTCGGAAATCGTTGTGACTCAGATCGAGGAACTTGGTCTGTGCCGCAAACTTGTCGGCCAATCGCCTTGGAATGGTCTTTAGGTTCTCATACGCCAGCGATATACGCCCGTTGTCCTCGAGTATGCTCTCCGTGAAGGATACATCTTCACTGGGGCAGCTGCTGGTGGAGATGTTCCCGCTGAAGGAGTAAGGATTTGGTGAGATCATCTTGCCCTCACTGGGTCCGGTCAGGTAGACGTCGTTATACTCGTAGTTGAGGCTCTCCAGCGACTGAATATTGGCACAGGTTCTGAGCACCTCCGTCAGGCAGGGATTCGATGGACTGGCACAGGGATATTACCGATTATAGCGGACACTTTAGGGTAAGTGCCGAGATGCTCACCTGTCTTCGGAGTTGGAGCGTTCGGAGGTGGATGTCCCAGACATCCTCATAACTGGGTAAGCAACAGTCGTCTTCGGATTGGGTTGTTCTGCTGGCTGCCAGAGGCCGTCTGATTGTCTTTATTTTGGTCCAACGTCAGTGCCAGACTGAGGAAAAAGTGACACTTGATTCTCGCTCCGCGGAGATTATCTCAGTCTTTCCGCTCTCCAAGCAAATAAGTACCCAGAGAGTGTGAGTGTGTGTGTGTGTACTGAAACAATTGTCATCTCGGTGGTCACAATTACTCGGCGCACTCAAAGAACACTTGGAAATATTCTTATTAGTAATAAAATAATGAAATAATTTATTGCAACAAATAATTGTTATTCAATTTAATATGTAAATAAATGTAAAGAGTGAATAATATAAATAGAACTACTAGAATACATACAGCTAAAAACTTATTAAAAATTTTATAAACATTCTATAGTCAATAACAATTTTTGTAAATACTTCGTTATCAGGAAATGAATAACAAATCGTGATTTTACGTAAAGGCTTTAAAAGTCTTTGGTTTTTAATCAACATATTTAACAAAGGACTATTAATTTCGAACAAAATTAAAAACTAAAGATTATGGAGACTATAATAAAGATTGCAAATAAATAAACGTATATACGTATAAATAATGTATAAATAATGGTTATAGATAATTTTTGATTGGAATATTTTTGTGAAATTTAATAAAATAAAATTAAATTTGTTCAGTGCACTAAGATTAGTAAGTAGAATGCACAAACACATGTAAGGCAAAGGTTTAAAACAACAAAACAAAGTAAGTACGAGGAACTGTAAATTCTATTGTGTTCTCTTTGTTGATGCTGATACCCTGCAAAGGAATTATCTAGTGACGTGGTATGCTAATTTGTATGCTTGCTTGGAGTAGAAATTAATTGCTCACCTGACAAGTTTCTTACCTTATTTCGAGTACCTCTAGAGAGGGTGTGAAAGTGATACTTCTTATCTTCGGCTACTCCCCCATTTCACCAGAACGTGTCTACTTTGTATTATTATCAGATGAACTTCGCATTAGTGATAAGCATGAATACTACTTCCATGAATTTTCTTACACTTACGTGGCCGAAAAGGGGAATAATTTAAAGGGTACCAAAAAATTGGTGCTTTAAAAATAGCTTTATTATTTTCATGTTTACCATTATTTACAGTAAATCTCCTCATATAGGGTTACATATTTACATCTAAATGTTGTTTACGCTTTGAAAGCATTAAATTGATTTGTGTGCTTTGGATTATATGGCCTGGAAGTGTTGACATATAGATTGTCAGCCGGAAAAATAAAGAAAACGTGAAAATATGTTGTGTATGTGAGATTTCTGTAGTTTTCAAGCTTTGCACCATTTACATTAGTGCTCTTATTTTATTAATCTTGTTCTGGCTTCTGAGCTTGTGTAAAACCGAAACAAAAAGTAAATTAAATCTTAAATAAAATGTACTATAAATCTATATCAAAGTCTTACTTTAGCCGGATGTACTTAATTAATATGACTTAAGGTCTGATTTTTTGCCAAGCAAATTAGGATAAACATAGTAAATAAAGCATTGTAAATTGGGTCTTAAATATACATATATACATTTTATACAAGTATATTATTATTATTATTAAGGTACCATTATGTATCGATAAGATATGTGAGATAAACAATTTTAATGGCAATTTTATAATTCGAATAATAAAATGTATTTTTAATTGTAAGTAATAAAATTTCATATTTATGTCATTCTTAGATTGAATTTAAAGTTAAAAATGTTCAAGCTTTTGTTTTTTATTATACATATATAATATTAATTTAAATTTACATTGATTTTAAATTGGTAAATAGGTAATCATTGGATTAAGTTCTAATAAATTTTTCTATATTATATATAAATGGCCTTTACTTACACAGAGCTCAATAAGATGATCAATCTATAGAGACCCCCCTGTGGCCACTACTGATTGTGTGATCTGATATGTCCAGGCTGATTTGTAAGCTTTGCTCCGACAACCCACTCTCACTCATTCATTAACTTAATTCGTCTATGAGTACTCGTAAAGCACTCGAACCCGATGCTAGAGCCATGTCTCCACTATGCCATACTATCATACGATATACAGCGGTATAGGGGCAAGAGCGCAAAACGAAATATGGGGGCGCGGCGGACTTTCGCTCTCGGCGGTACTATGGCCCCAGCTATGGGCTCCCCCACTGGTACTGCCGCTCGCCGAGCTACTGCGCCCGGCTGGAGCGTGGCGCTCAGTCTGCTCCCTGCTCTAGACCCCAATAGTTCGGCGCGCGGCCAACACGCGAAGCTTGCAAGATCGATCCGTGTACGAGTCGGAATCCGAATCCAAATCCGAATTCGATTTTATAGAGAGTGTGCGTTGTGTGTGTGCGTTTTTTGCGGCAGTGCACAGCTGTTGACTAATTCTCAATCGGTGCTTTTGGCCTCGAGGAGTCGCAAGTCGAGTCGATTCACTTCAAATCAGCAGCGGTAATAACCAAAAACACAACAACTATGACAAAAGCTTTACATAAATGTGCAATTGAACACATGCGAGCATAACAAAACAAAATTGAGTTTGTTATTGATTACTCGGGTTGCCAGTGGCACCACCTTGCCCCATACCACCCAAAGCTCATAAAATCGATTCATACACAGAGGGGCAAAGTATCTTGAAAATATAGCGATTATTTCAATTAAAATAGGTCATAGGAATATTATAATTTTAATAATATATAATTGTTTGTTTTGTTTTTTAATTCTTTTAATAACTATATTTGTTATTATCTATAAATATTTGCTTAAATTATCATAAGACAATTTAGATTGTTTTCAAATGATCATCTTCTTTCAACAATTTTCAGTTAGTTTTGAATATTTAGAAATTGTATAATTGTAATACAATAATATAATAGTTGAATAGTTAGATAACTTTTCCCTAATTCCTAAAATAATAAAAATAAATCAGCTTCAGATGCCACTTTTAAATCTTTAACAACCAATAATTTTAGATTTCATTCTATTCTTAACTAAATTGTTTTTAAATCTACATTTTCTGACAGTGATTGAACCCCCACACTATACATTGATAGCCCCACATATGTTTTTATTGATTAACTGACAACATACGATGTACATCTGTATGTACAGACATACATCATCAATTCAACGAAAGAGGTCTTTCGCTCTTATCTCGCCTTCTGGCTCGTGTTTACCTCCAGTGAATTTTAATGCTGATTTGTATTAGATTACGTTTCGCATTTGTGAAAACTATTTCACTGTCTTAGTTCAGTGGCTTTACTGTTTAACAGTGAAGCGTGGAACTTGCGCAATTTACGAGTATGTGCATATTATAATGGCATTGGCCAAAGCAGGTTTTTTGGCTAAAAAGCTTCATATGTCATGACCACTTTTGCCCAATGAAGAGATCCACATCATTTTGATATACTCCAAGCTCAAGAAATATTAGGAAATATATTAAAAAGAGTATTTAAATCCCTGTAAGGTAAGACCCTTCCAGTTTCCACTGTAACTGGGTCTCAAGTGGAAATGGGCATCTGCGAAACGAGTGAGTTCATTGATTAAAAGTGCTCAGCTGACGTTGGCGTTTCTTTCTTTGTGAATCTTATCAGAGACTGGCGGCAACAAAAATAGGAAAAACCAATTAAAAAACACCAATACATCAGATGGCATGAGTCTTTATGCGATGCAAAGCGCGTTCGAACCCCAGGGCATTCGTTATTAAGCGTTGTATAAATGCAGAATACTGTCGTAGTCCTCGTCACCCCATCAAGAATTGTGCAAAGTCCATCAAGAAATCACTTTTTGTGTCGATCGTGCGAGCAAATCATTCAAGTCCAGCGTTTATCATTAGCTAGCGAAATGTGCTAAAATCGGGGACAGTCAAAACCTGACATTGGTGCTAGTCTAGTGTTCCTCCAGCAGAGTGAAGTGAGTCGGTAAATATTAGACACTTTTTTTAGTAAATAAACAGTGAGACCTACGGAAGTTCTAAGCTTATGAAAAAGATCGTGTGTGGAGCTAATGTAACCATTCGAGAACGAAATTGCTTTTGTGGACGGACTGTCGTAATGCTCAAATTTCAAGGGCAGGCCACAATGCGTGAATGCTAATTTGGTGATGCGACCTTTCGCTGTCGCTTTCGGAATACGAGCACCGAGTAAAATATGCAAAAACCGCATTCAAAAACCAATAGCCAGCATGTGTTTCGATTTTTCTATACCTCTTACCTCTGCAGGGTGTACACTTATTCCTCCTCTGATTATTTTCTTGGGAAAACAGCAGTGGGTTATATTAATTGTTTCATTTTGATTTATAGTACTATTTCAAGCTTGAGATAAATATCTATAAATAATGTGCCAAGTACCGGGTACCAAGGCAGTCAGTACGAAAATATATATCTTTTTGTTTGTTGCTTCTTTCATTTCGTTTATTTTTGTTTTCCGTTCGGTTTGCGTCATGCAAACTATGGAGTTTTTTTTATGGGTTTTCATTAGCGCATCTGTTTTTGTTTTTAAGTTATTTCCTATAAATATATATATATAAATATATAGTATATAAATCACGTAAACTAAAAGATAAGGATAGTGGAAATTATTATTAAAGTCCGCAACTTATCGTATTGGTCTCTTTGACATTGGAGTCGAGCCTATCGCTGGGATATACGAATAAGCAAGGTCGCTTGATTTAATATATATTATACCATATTTAATATAGTCATGGTTCAAGGCATTTAGGTAATTGTAATTTACAAAAATATGGAAATTGATTGATAAACTTGACTAGATATAATTTTAAATGGCAAAATAAAGCAAAGAACAATTATCCACGTACCCAAAATTCTCGTCATAGGTTTAAAACCATATTTTTATTTAAATAAATATTGAAAATTATTTTACTCATGAATATATTTAAATACCAAGTACGAGAACCTTTCCAAAAATACATTCCAAGCCCCATATCAATTTTCCAAGACCCATAAATTTCGTCGTAGCTACTTTGTTGTTTTGTAAAGAACCACCGAATTCAATAAAACGCAGAAATTAGATAAGCCATTCTTTGGTAATTACCTAATAGGGAAATACAATTTCCTGGTCACTTTCAACTTATCAGTATTGCAATATTTACCTTTACAGGTTATAAGTAAATATTGCCTCAGGTGATAAAGTTTTCCGACAGCCTGTGCAAAGTGTCAGTCGTGATTGATTTTTGGCTTATGCCCTCGAGTGTCGTCGCACCACATTTTCGCATGACAAAAACAGTAAAAACAAAAAAAATTAAATAAAATCAATGCCAGCAACGTGCGAACAAGGGAAAAAGTAAAAAGTCAGGTGGCGTCTTCCCCACCTGGTTGTCTGAGAATCCGAGTCCATGCGGACTGGAATTTCAGTCGACTCAAAGTCTATGTCAGCGCACGCCGGGTTAATGGAATATCACAACTGTAAAGTACAGAGTATATATAAAATATATATGGGAAAATATAGCTTCGCTCCGGACAGCGTCCAATTTATACGGAAGGACAGGGTCAGACACTTAACCGCCGTGTTCCATTTTAATTCCGATCCCCAGTCGGAAAGTGTGAGCTCTAATAGTTCGTGTGCCGGGAATGCTAATTAGATGCTTGCACTTCACCTAGAACGCTTGCTTAGTCAGCACAACTCTCGATAAAATAACAAATAATTAATTCTACGCAATGCTTTTCAATTAATTTATTCAATGATATTTGTTTTCTTTTTGTGCTATTCCAGGGTTCTCAGTTCAAAGCGTTCTCCGAAAAAGGCACAATGACTGGATCAGGTAAATATTTAAATTATTACGAAACCGAGATACATGAATGCATTTAATGCTTTGCCAGCCGAACAATTGATTCGAAACAACAATTCTTAAAATTACTTGTTCTACAGCTTTCGGTTTAAATGCCACCAAACGATCGTGACCTTTTGTTTAACAATTATTATATTTTAAAGCACACTTTTAGGAATATATATTAACTGTGTAAAGTAAAATCAAATGAACAATGTTATATGATTACTTGGCAGAGAATTTTTAAAATTTTTTAATCATTTTAAATTTAACATTTAGTATTAAAATGATTAACCTATTTAAAACTAAAAGGAAAGTTTTCAGAATCGAAATTAATGATTTTTTGGCAAAGCTATGTTTTTTAAATTTTGGTTTTTCGCAGAAATTTTCATATTATAAAAATGCTTTTGAATTCATTGTTTTAATTTGTATATGTAAATTCATAGTTATTTTTATCTAATTTAATTTGTTCTTAATTATCCCTCTTATAGTTCACGATCCGAAATGGAGCTTGGAGCGTCGCGAATCCTCTGGCCATTTGGTGTGGCGCAAGGACTCGCCGGAGTCAAAGGTTCGGTTCAGATTTGATGTCGAGGTCCTGGAGTTCGAGAAGCATCCGCACGAGGAGCTAGACGAGAAGGAGGATCATTTCTCCATGACCAGCCTCTCGGCTACAGTGGCCTTGTGTGCCACCTGCGTGGCCGTGGTTGCCGCCTCCGTCTTCCTGCCTTGGTATCTCATGGAGAGGGTGGGATCGATGTAAAGGATCCATGGCAAAGGCATTAGCTTCTTGTATATAGTTACAGCCTGGACGGTATTAAGTAGACTCTTGTATATAAACAAGCGTAGATTTAACTAATTGTAAATAGTTCGTACGTTGTAAATAGACTGTGTGGTTTTAAAAGAAAAACAAAAAGAAAAGCAATAGAGTTTGGAAAACTCGCGGTGCAATAGATTGGCGAATGCGACTTTGACATATTGGATTGTATTTAAGGATGTGTAAATTCTCATAAGTTTATTTGCATGGTAAACGCTCCAACGAAAGATCACAAAGATTGTTTATGGAATAAACGAAATACTTGCCTGTAAAAATCCATGTATTTTGATATTGAAACGACGGCAATAAGGTCACGATCACGATCATAAGAATTCGAACAGAAGCCGGTATAATAAATATTTACCACGCACTTCTTATTGAAATATTACTCGGAATTGAAAGTGACCAATTAGACCCTCGGATGCACACAATGAATCCTTCAACCCCTATAGAGTCTGGACCAATTCAAGGTAACAATCATCCCCCGCAACCATACCCAGCATCCCTTGCATAGGATGAGGGTTGATGTCGTAATTTCTGTTTCGCTGCCAGTGTCTTGATTAAAATTCTTCCCCATTTATGGCCATGCTAAAAGCGCACGAAAATCCCATAAAATTGTCTGCAATCAAATCATTGGGTAACGTTGGCGAAAAATGGCCGAACGGCACGTTACAATGGATGGGGGTAAAGTTAACGAGCAACCCCTGAACTAGAATGGTTAAACAGACAAACTATATGGAAAACTAATTGGAATCTGCAAAGGATATAGTGTGCTTCCAATTAAGTTTAGTGGGAATTAAATATGTAAATTATCACAAGCTTAAAGGTGTACTTTTCGTGGAATTTGAGAGATACTTTAAATAGTTTTTAGTATTAATACCCAGTCGTTTGTAAAGCATATAAAAACGAATTAAATTATATTTGGCAACCCTTTATATGAACAAGAAACGGTACTTTATTCGGGAAGCCAAGGGTTAAATACCCTGTTTGCAATTCAATTAAACATTACATTAATACCTATTGATATTTTATATGACAATTTATTCGACAAACCAATGTTTTAAAAATCCCGTAAATCAGACAAAAACTCATTATTTTAATTCGGAAAGCATTCCTATGTTAGTTTTAAATAGGTTAATAAATCGGAATACTAAATTTAAAATTTAAAGAGATTCAAAATGTTGCATTTTTTTTTGTACATTTTAAACGATGCAAAAAAAAAACTCCTAAGATAGCTAGCTAGATTCGCCTGTTGATGCTCATCAAGAATATATATGCTTTATAGGGTCGGAAATGACTCCTTCATAGCACAACAAGCTTCTGACTAGAATTATAATACCCTGCAAAAGTATTAATAGTGATAACGAGAAAGGTCTCAAGGATTTAACATATTAAACAATCTAAACAAAGTTTAAAAATAACCGAATAATTACTGAATTCTAAAGTTCACTGAGCTTTTATAATACTATTTTGATAGTGAAATCACAATGCAGTTTACCCAACCAATATCTTTAAATAGACCTATTACCTATATGGCAGAGCGACAGTGCACTACTAAAATTACGTAGATAAGATATTTAAAACAAAATGGGAATAATGACACTTGTAAACACAATTTCTTTAATTGTTAAGCCTTAAGTTAATAGATTAATTTCAGGGGCAGGCCCACTTTAAAGTACGTATACCTCTCATAAAATGGAATTTCTGCATTTATGAATTCCACTCATCCGCCATGGAAGCCCTGCCAGGTCTACGTCAGAGTCCCAATTGATTTCCGTAATCTGACACAGTCGTAGGAGCAGAGTGAAGTTGGATCATGATAAGCGGCTGTGTTTTGGGGGGATGTGCGAGAGAGTGAACCCCGGCGATAAGAGCTGGCGGCTTGATAAGATTCTCGTAAATGTGGCGGATCTTTTATTTGAACTCGCGCTCCGTGGTCTTGTTGTGTTTTCGGTTTTAGTTTCGGTTTCGGTTCTCTGGGTCTCTGTATTCGTTTTTTTACTTGCCGTATTTCTTTATTCCTATACGATCTCATAAACCCTGGCCCGTGAGTCAGTTTGCTGTTTGCCCCAGTCGAGAGCGGTCGTCTGCTCCGGAGATCTTTGATTCCGCTTCTCAAAACCAACCAACGATCACTGAACACCGATCACCAGTCTCCGATCACAGATCTCCGATCTCTGATCGTCCCAGATATAGATAGAAACAAACAAAGCAGCCCCAGAGAAGAGATCTTAACGAGATCGAGAGGCGATCTCGTTTGAATTCGCAACGCTGGCCGCTAGTCAGCCGCCTGATCTCCGCCAGAACTGACGTTGTGACTGCTCCTGCTCCGCGAAACTATAGGAGCTACTAAAGTAGTGATATTGTCAACACTTGCACTGGCCGATTAGAGCTGGTCTCCGGGGTGCACAGAACGTAGAAAATCGAAACAAAAATAAAGCACAAAATAATCAAAATAAAAACCCAACAAAGTCGAGAACCTGTTTTGAATCGATCTAAATGTAAGTCCCCGAAGGTCGTTCTCTTGCCTTTCAATAATTTCTGCCACTGACAACACTTTTGTTTGTTTCCATGTCAATTGTTGGTTTTATTTCTTAATTACTTTGTCTATTTTTAGTACCTTCAAGATGTCCAAGATGCCAGAGACAACGTTTGCCGATCTGAGTTTGGCCGATAAGGTAATTAATAATCAACTAAAGTAACTAACAATGGGAATAATGAACTGAATATGCATGAGCTGTGCTGGGTAAAAACGCGTTTCGATCGCTGAACTTGGCGATTAATCTGAAAACAGCACGTGACAAACTTGACAAACAAACAAAAGCCCCCAGAGACGCTCTCGGAACAGCAAATAAAGGCGAGACAATCACCTCGAATCTTTAAATACCCTCCGTGAAAGTAATAGCATAACAAATTCAGTGTAGCCGATTTAATTAGGTGATTCTAAAAGGTTACAAAGAGTTCCAAAACGTTTAGTATTTATAAAGATCTTTTATTATAAAGTGTTTCAAGATAATAGCACATTGCCCCCTAAATTGCAGTGATAAAACTTAAATTTATTACTTTCGCATAGTTCCGAGTTGTAACTTAAAGATAGATCTCTCAGGGTTTCAGGTCCATGGCATATATCTGCTTATTAAGTTCGCAGAAATATATATTATAATGTTGTGAATACAAGGGCATGTTTATTCCATGTGGCCTGGTCTTGGAAATGTAAACAACAATAGACGCAAATGCACAAGGTATACAACAATCGTAGATTTCATTAATTCTCTTGCCTGTGTTTACATACACTTTGGATATCGCTCTGGATTGGATCCATAGAATCGCGTTTTCATAACATATACATGTATATCTCCCCTGAATCAATTGGCGCGACGAATTATCGCCGGTATGCTAAATGACGCCAATTAGTGGCCAACTTTTTCCACTTGGCTTTTCTTTGCATTAAAATCTAGATTTCGCTGGAAATGGCGCAGAATTCGCGCCCATCTGATCGGTTTCTACTATAATATATATTGATTTATATGCAGTGCGAAATCGATTAATCCAATGGAGATATGTTAATTGGAATGTGAAACAGAATTATGGAAATGTGATTTATTATCATACCTTATTATCGCTGATTAGATGGGATATTTATTATGCATATATATTTTTAGCTAGGGTAACCCTTTTAAGATAGTGTTAATAATAAGCTTAGATACCAGCAACTATATGTTTTTCATAAGCAAACGTTTTTTTAACCGCATAAATTATAAAGTCATGGCCTATTAAATTCAATCTTTGGTTTAAAACTGTAAATGAGCTCATTCTCTGTTTAAAATTTGGTTACCAATTGTTTGCTTAAATACGATAAGGCAGATCCACTTTCGTGCCTGCAAATATATTTTATCTTAACTTAAATAAATTATTTTTCCCTTCAACAGACTGCAGTGAAAAAGTCCAGCATAGAGGCTCGCCGGTTTTCCGATGTCTCCACCTGCTCCTTCAGTTCTAGTAAGTTATCCTTTAAAACAAGATTAATTTTCCCTAAATGATCTAACTTTTAACATCTTAAATAAGGAGAAGTCTAAATTGTAATGTATTAATCTCCCCCATTAGCCTGTTTCACCGGAAGCTCTGACGAGGAAGAGATCTCGCCGAAGGACAACCGTCAACGCAACTCCGCCGGCGGGACCGACTTTTGCGTGAAGAGCATCTCGAAGAGTGCCTTTGGAAGGCGCGAGATTGAGATTGCGGAGTCTGAGATGCCGGGCATCATGATGCTCCGAAAGCGGGCCAAGGATGAGAAGCCTTTAAAAGGCGCTCACATCGTGGGTTGCACTCACGTGAATGCCCAGTCCGCGGTTCTGATAGAGACACTGATCCAGCTGGGTGCCACAGTTCGCTGGGCGGCCTGTAACATCTACTCCACGCAGAATGCCGTGGCAGCCGCCTTGGCGGAGGCAGGCATCCCGATCTTTGCCTGGCGCGGAGAAACGGAGGAGGAATTCTGGTGGTGCCTGGACAGATGCATTCACTCCGATGGTTGGCAGCCTAACCTCATCCTGGACGATGGCGGCGATGCCACCCATTTGATGTTGAAAAAGTATCCCGAATGCTTTAAATCCATTCGAGGCATTGTCGAGGAGAGCGTGACGGGTGTCCATCGGCTGTACATGCTTTCCAAGGGCGGCAAACTCACAGTTCCCGCCATAAATGTCAATGACTCGGTGACCAAGAACAAGTTTGATACCTTCTACACGTGCCGGGACTCCATCCTGGACAGCCTGAAACGCACCACGGACATCATGTTTGGCGGCAAGCAGGTTGTGATCTGTGGCTATGGGGATGTGGGCAAGGGCTGTGCCCAGTCGCTGAAAGGTCAGGGCTGCATAGTGTACATCACGGAGGTGGATCCCATTTGTGCCCTGCAGGCGGCCATGGATGGATTCCGAGTGGTACGACTCAGCGAGGTTATCCGGAGCGTAGATGTGGTGGTCACGGCGACCGGGAACAAGAATGTGATTACCCGCGACCATATGAATCGCATGAAGAACGGCTGTATCCTGTGCAATATGGGTCATTCCTGCTCAGAGATTGATGTGGTAAGGAAAGGAGGACTTCGTTTTCTGGATTTACTTTTCTAATAGTTCTCTTTTGATTTCAGAATGGCCTGCACACGCCGGAGCTAACGTGGGAGAGGGTTCGTTCCCAGGTGGATCACATCATCTGGCCAGATGGCAGAATGATCATCCTGCTGGCCGAGGGTAGGCTGGTGAATCTCTCTTGCTCCACGATTTCCTCGTTCGTGGTGTCGGTGGCCTCCTCTACCCAGGCCTTAGCTCTGATCGAGTTGTTCTCGGCACCGGGAAGGTATAAATCAGATGTGTATCTGCTGCCAAAGAAAATGGGTATGTTTTATAGATGGAAGATTTTTATTACTAACCACATACCAAAAATCAACTCAATCGAATTAATATTACAATAATCACAGCCATATTGGAGTCTCTTTTGAATGTCTCCTTTGGCCAGCCCCAATAAGTAGGCAATCATTTGAGAGGTTTTTCTTAGGAGTGTGGGGAATCCTTTAATATCATAATTTCTCCTTATTCTTCCCGATTTCAGATGAGTATGTCGCCAGTTTACATTTGGCCACCTTTGATGCGCATCTCACGGAGCTCACAGATGAGCAGGCCAAATTCATGGGCTTAAACAAGGCCGGGCCTTTTAAAGCCAATTACTACAGGTAAGTTTAAAAGTTCAACTACCCCTATACATTTATAATTATTACTTTCTTTGCTTTCAGATATTAATCAGTATTTCATGTTGTATCCTGTTATTCTCGTTCTGTAATTTTTTGATATTATTTAAAAAAATAAAACTAAATAAAAATAAAAAATTATAAAATATTGTTTCGAAAATCTTAAATATAGTTAGTTCCCACTTAATTTTAGGGAAATAAAAATACCGTTAATGTGCTCACAAGCACAAGCTGCTTGCTATAGAAACTTATATATATATAGGGGGCGCTTCCGGAAAAGTCAGTTACAGTTAGTCGAGAGTTCGAAAACTGAACGTAACAGTGTACACTAGGCATGGCGCGTTGGTAGGGAAAATTTTACTCAAACAAAAAATGTACATTAAATTAAGGAATTGAAAAAGTCTTGAACTCCATTCCCGAAATTAAAATAAACAATAAATAACACCAAGATGCAGGCTCTTATGTCCGAAATTAAGAATGCGGTGGTCCTTCTGGAGAATGATACCGAACCGGATGAGCTGCATATGAGAGCCTGTATGGCCATTACTATACAATTGATGAAAGACCTAAGAAACACAATCGTTGAGAGTGGAATGTACAGTGAGCAGATCATAAGTCATACCTCGAAAGTCCTGGTGGAATGTAAGTCTGCCGAGGGAATACCACAGATCCGTGTTTATAGAACTCTTCTATCCACAGCTCGCATAAAGTTGGCATTTCTTTTTAGGAGTGTGCCATGCCATGCCGAAGGAGACACGGTAACTCCAGAGGTGCAGCGCTGTTTCATAAAGGTCATGAATGCCGTTATCGCCCAGTTTGACAACATCATCAAAGAATCCTCAATGAAAGAGAATATGGGGGATAATGAGGTACAAGGGAACCGAAGGAAATACACCAAAACCTGAAGCTCTTTAAGAAAATTACCGCCAAACGAAGAAGCGAAATTGAAGATAGTTCAAAGAATAAACGTTGCTCCAAACATCTAGATCATCAGAACATCAGATGCGATGGAGGCGATGCCACGGACATTTATTCGTCCAAACTGTCTAAGAATAGTTTTGATAGTCAGCACCAGATCTCCGACTGCTGGTCAAAGGGGAGTCATTTTAAGGAGGTTGACGGAGGGTCAAGTTGGATTACCGAAAGTTCGCAAGACCAGCAATTCCAGAAAGACAGTCAGTCAAATTCCACATCTGCCGAGTTTAGCTTCATTAACTTAATGGAACAAAAATCCGATGCAACGTGGGAGGGTTCCTTTCAGAGCATTGAAAGCCAAAAAACTTTAAAAATGAAGAGTCCCGAAAACCTGCAGAATTTCCATATTCAGAAGGACAACTCCAAGCATCAGAAGAGTTTTACTTGCTCAGATTTTAAAGTTAAAGATTTGCCGCAGCTGGATAAAGATAAAAGCCAAACGAGTTTGACAACCGAGATAGAGGAAAACCTACGGACTAAGAGGAGTTCCACTTCCTCCGATTTTGTACTCAACGACCTATCAGAAATGGAATCCAATGTTGCATTGGTGGGATCGTATCAGAACATCGGAGATCGAGATCTGCAGGTTTTGTGGGTCAAAAAAGCCCAGCCTATGAATCAGATGGAATGCACTCATTCCGATTTGTTACTGAAGGACCTGCCGGAGCTCAAATCCAATGTAGCAATGCTAGGTTCTTTTCAGAAAGTTGATAGACAAAAAAGTTTACGGATGGAGAGTCAGGAAGATCTTAACGTTTTGTGGGTACAGAATAAACAGCCTCTGATTCAGACCAGCTCTAGCTCTACCTGTTCGGATTTTATTACTAAGAACCTGCCACAACTGGAAAAAGATAAAAGCCAAACAAGTTTGACGACTGAGAGTCCGCAAGTCCTGCAGGTTCAGAGTAGCCTTAAATCTTCACATTCCCTATTCAAGGATCTGCCACAAAACGACGGAAATCTGGTAATAGAACAGCCTGTGATTCAAACAGTCTCCGCTTCTTCCGACTTATTCAAGGACCTGCCGCAGCCAGAGAAAGTTGAAAGCCAAACGAGTTGGTTGACCGCATGTACACACAATACTCTTGGGATTCAGAAAAGCTACAAGCCTACCGATTTTATTATCAGGAAACTACCACAGTCAGAGAAAGATAAAAACCAACCGAGTTTGACAACTGAAAGTTCGAAAGACCTGCAGTTTTTATGTGATTATAAGGAAAAGACTATATCTCAGACGACCTTTACATTTTCAAACCCCCGATTCATGGATCTTCATCAAAACGACGGAAATGAAACAAATATGAGAATCGAGCCCATGATTCGGACTGTCCCCACTTCTTCCCACTTATTCAAGGACCTGCCTCAGCCGCAGAAGGTTGAGAACCAAACGAGTTGGACGATCGCATATTCACAAAATACACAAGGGATTCAAACAGACTCCATATCTTCCGATTTTATAATCAAGAATATGTCCAAAACGGAAACGGATGTGGCGTCTGTAGGCTCCTTGAACAATATGGACAGCAAAATAAGTTTGTGGATGGAGAGTCGGCAAGACCTGCAATCTCAGAAAGAAAAATCAAAAGAATTTCCGCAGCCGAAAAAAGATAAAAGCCAAAAGAGTTTGATTCACACAGACTCCACTTCTTCTGATTTTATTACTAAGAACCAGCCACAACTGGAAAAAGATAAAAGCCAAACAAGTTCGACGACTAAGAGTCCGCAAGTCCTGCAGGTTCAGGGGAGCCATAAATCTTCACATACCCTATTCAAGGATCTGCCGCAAAACGACGGAAATCTGGTAATAGAACAGCCCGTAATTCAAACAGTCTCCGCTTCTTCCGACTTATTCAAGGACCTGCCGCGGTCGGAGAGTGTTGAAAGCCAATCAGGTTGGATTACCGAAAGTGCACAAGACCTGCAGTTCCAGAAAGACATGCCCATGATTCAGTCAGGCTCCATCTCTTCCGATTTTATCATACGCAACTTGACGGAATCGGAGTACGATGGGGTGTTTAATAATTCCATTCAGAACACTGAAAGCAAAAGAACTCTGAGGACGGATAGTCGAGAAAACCTGCAGGTTTTGCAATCTCAGAAAGATAACTCCATGGATCAGGCGGACTTTACATCATCAAATACCCGATTCAAGGACTTGCTACAGACCGACGGAAGTGAAACAAATTTGAGAACCGAGAGTCGGCCGATAGAACAGCCCATGGTTCAGGCAGTGTCCACGTCTTCTGATTTTATATTCAAAGACGAGCCAGAAAAAGGAAAACCCCACAGAAATTAAGGATCGAGGGCCTGGATGACGTGTCGGTCTTGAGAAGCCAGATAGACAAGCGTTGGAGTCAGGGCTATAGCAATATTATATTGGAGAACCTAAATGAACTGGAATCCAATATGGCGTTGGCAGGATCCGATAGTGATTTAAGGAGGAAAAGTGGACAAGACCTGCCGGCATCCAATTTGTCACTCCCGAAAGAAGTTAAAAGAAAAATGGTAACCGAAAGTTCGACATCCCTGCATGAGTTATGGGTTAGGACAGACAATCCCATGGTATTCACGAGCCCCTCTTCTTCCTCTTCTATCTCAGTCAACAAAACAAACTCGTGCCTTAAGTCCCTCAAGAACTCAGTTTCCGAGATAATACCTACTGCAAACCGGAGTCTTGAGATCAAGAAGCCAAAATCAGTTTCAAGTTTCTTTTCTGTGGGAAAAACATTTGGGGACCATCGTTTGCGGCTGCTCCGCTGGTGTCAGGAGAGAACGAGAGACTATGGGGTTCCTCTGTACGAGTTCAGCGAGTCCTGGCGCAATGGTCGTGCCCTGGTCGCCATCATTTACTCATACCGCAAGGATTTAATTGAAGATCGTTTTAACCCAGAGAACCGTCTAACCAAGCAGTCGCCAAGGAAAACCCTTTTATGCGGTGCCAATGCAGCCAAATCCCTGGGAGTGAACAGCAAAGTGGACATTGTCCAGGTGTGTTTGAAGAAGGTACCAGATTACTTCAAGGTCTATACATTCGTATGTGAACTGCAGCGCTGCCTGGAGCCAAGGCTCGGATAATACAGTTTTTATTGTTTTTATTTATTTAATAAAATATATAATGGTTCTCCATTTTATAAATTTATCTGAACTAAATTCTTTATTTGTCAAATACACATGAATTACGATTCCACTCTGGACTTACAATTTAAACATGAAATATATACTCTAATGTAGGATAATTCCACTCTGGGCTTACAATTTAAACAAGAAATATATACTCTAATGTAGGAAGTAATGTGTCATCACGGATCGGGCTCATCATGAAGAAATGAGTTGGGCCAGTAGCTCATCATGCCAAAGATGATCTTCTGGCTGGCCCGCGGACCAATCATCGGGTTCATCTGCATCAGGAAGGTGACCAGCCAGGCGAGGTAGCAGCACACGGCGGTCGCAATGGCACAGCACCGGATCACGCCCCGCTCCTCGTACCAGAAGGAGATCAGATACCCGACGACGGCGAAGAGTAACCAAAATATGGTGATAACTGCGAAGACCACATTCTTATCCATTTCCGGGGGGAGCTTGTCCCAGCAGCTGGCAACGAAAACTGGCTAGTTGTGACAACTTTCACCCCTGGCCCCTGGATCGGGAGAGCTTGCCTCCTGCCAATCCCAATTTGGGTGCCGGCGCACTCATAAACTTTTATGGTTGCGAACATTTCGATATTTTATGGCGGCCAGCGGAGGCTGCAGGCGCAGTGGAGCGCAAAGGTTGTAAATGGAAAACTGTAACAGTGCTGCCAGAAATCTATTCCTGGGAGAAAGGATATTTCGACAAAAATAGGACAATATTCTTCATAGATTTTAATTTAAAATATTACTAAGGCATCTTAGGTGAGAGAATGACAAACATTTCTTCTTTGATTTGATGTTTTGAAAGTTATTATTGAAAGTGACATTTTGGCTCTTAATTAAAGCATGAGTGAGTGATATATCTTATCTCAAAAAACTATTAACATATTTTCTAATTAGTTAAATAAAGATAAACTTGTTATACCTTTCATTAAGTTTTATCACAATATTAAGTTTTTTATCACAATGTTCTTTGAAAGGTGAAATAAATAAAGATATTCTTGTAACACCAAGTAGAAATTAATTAAGAAATTACGAAAGAAATACTATCATCCCCGCAAAATCCAAATACTTCAAGGATAATAAATCATTCCAAAAAAAATTTCTAAATCTATCCGGAAAATGGATAAATTGCTTTCTCTGAACTGAATACATTTTCCGAGTGCCAGGATGGCCCATAAAACTGCTGCACGCATCCTGACTAAGCGAAAAATCCGTTTTACGAGGGCTGCCAGCTCTCCAGCTCTCCTGCAAACCTCCACCCTGCATCCTTCATCCTCGCAGGATCCATATCCATCCCCTCCTTCGCATCCTGATGATGCCATAAGTGCCCAGGCGCGCCTCATAAAATGGCGGCTGTGCAATGGCAATGCAATGTGCTTCGGTGTGCCGTTTTTCTTTTCTGCCTTCGTGGTGGTGGTGTGGTGTAATCGAGTTTTCCCAAAGTAGCAATAAATGTTAATGGCGACATCGAATTTTCCATTTTCTCGCCATAAGTATCAAGACGTCCGGTGCCAAGCCAACGGTTATTTCGCGGCAATGGCCATCTTTAATTCCATTTTGATGCGGGGGAGAGCCATCGCCTTATAAAGGATGAAAAACAGTAGCTACTTTTGGTAACAATTTCGATACCCGATTTCAAATAGCAACTAAAAGACATCTCAACATTAAAACTTACTTTTTGGCATTAATTCAAAGTGAAATCTTATGTAAAGGTTGTTGTTATTTCATGTGCGATTCAAGATTATATGATTTTTTAAGGGATGTTTTTTACAAATCTTTTTTTAAATTCACAACTGCACAACCTGCTATTTATTTTTATAGAGTTATTTTAGATATGTTTTTTTCACTGCATCCTTAAATAATACCTTAAAAGTTTTATGCAAATAATTAAATTTCTTAAAGAGACCAAAACCGTAGCTACTTTCGGAATCAACTTCGCACTTCGACTTCAGATAGAAACTGAATACATTCTTTCAATGTTTTGGTTCGAGTTTTCTATGCCTCAAGATCGATTTCGATTTAGGATCGTAAATCACCAGTTGGCCAACGGAGTCTCAACTCTGGAGAGTCGCAAGCAAATGCAAATCGGGCCAAAATGTGTGATTTCCCCTTTAGCACGGTCGGCACTTAAGAAGAAATAGAGTCAAAACCGAACCCAAAACCGAAACCTAAAATTCTGGGGCATTGCGTTATCGGTTCCGGTGCCGCTGTCGGTTTGTCTTGTCACTTCTTTGACGAACCGTCAAAATATTTGACTCGAAATAAAACAAGACCGTGACTGATTTGTTCAGTTTGGAATTTTTAGCTGATTGCAATACGATTCCTACAGGAATTATACCTGGACAGTTCATGGAAGTCACCACAAATTGGATATTTAACTTTTAGAATATACATTTTGCTTTAACTAAATTAAATAGGAATTGAGAGCAGTTTAATAAATAAGGAAACGAATACCTTTTAACATGTAAATGTATCTCAAAACATCAGGAAGGGAACCCCCATAATACTTTAAGCCAAACTGAGAAGTAGTACCTGTTTTCTTACCAGATTTTCGCGTACTTGTTCTCCTTCGCATAGAAGTGCTGGGTGTGGAGAAGATTTTAACAATTTGGATTAGTCGTACGACACTAGCACGCGTTGTTTGGGCAGCCACTTAGCGCCTTGGCCCAGCTCGGTCTCAAGGAAGTGCCAGGGGTCACACCGAAACACAAAGCTTGCAACACATTCCATTTCGCAGGTAAACACCTGCTCAGGCAGGCGTCGTGTCGGCTCTTTGGACCGTGGCGCTTTCCCCGCATCCCAACATCTCTCTCATATGTACCTTGCCCCCTTTTCCAGTCCCTCGAATAACGGCTTGGAAAAGTGACCGTTTTGCTGTGCGGGAACTTACCTTTGTTGGCTTTTCCATTCACACATCTATTCCTATGCTCATAATGGCTGAGAATATAGAAAATCGGTAGGCAGGAAGCTGATTTTATTAGGGGACTTACTTTCAGTTTTATATTTACAAAAGGATTTTTCAACCATAAGTTATAGGAACTAAAAGAAATATTAAAGTTGATCTTGTAATAGTAAAAGTTCTTTGAAACTGTTGTCAAATTTAATTTATTATATATATATATTTTTAAAGAAACGTTTAAACAAAACCCTCTTATTAAGCTACAATCTTAAATGTAAGCCATCTAAATCTTGACAACTTTAATGCAAATTTTCTGTTGAGGGCAAAGTCCTTTAGCTCTTCGCAATTAATATTCCCTTTCATGTGAAAGACTTTCATTTTCGTTGAGGGTCAAACTTAATTCGGCAGGTCGTATCTTTATCTGGACAACATTTGCGAATTAATGTCCAGCATTATGATCCCTAAGAGTGCTGGGAAAGTAAATAAGAATAATATATATATAGATATATGTGGGCGTCTACCCCCAAAATCGTTGGTCTTCATAAAACGGAGTCTGCGCACGATAAAATGCATCCGCCGATGGCGATTGATTTTTGACATATCAGCTAGTAAACACTCAGGGAAAATCCTTATAAAAATGTTCTGAATTGTTAAAAATAATGTATAAATAAAGGTAGAAACGGAGAGGACCAGGAATTAGACATTTTAATATGAAGCATATGAATAATTTAATTAATAAAATGATTTAAAGAAAATATAAATATTAGAGTTAGAAAAATAAATAACTCCATAAGTTGAGCGACAATTTATTATTGTCTAAGCCTGCGAATTATATTTTCTTTTGTGATTTTTCTGACTGTATCTTTAGCAAGTGACTGGTACTGCTCCCCCGTCTAGAATGGCGCACTGCGCAGATACAGATACGAATACACTGATACGAACGGATACATGTGACGGATACGAGGGCGTCAACGGTCGGTGGTTGATTCCTATCGCTGGCGAATTTATGTATCTGGAACGGGAGTGCAACCCCCACAGAAATAGCCGAAATCGAAGAATATCGAATTCTTTTTTTGGGGTGCGTGTGTCAGTTCGATATGGAAGATATATGCCCGTCATATATCTCATACCCTTAGCGTTGCTTTATTTATTTGTTTATCTACTATTTATGATCCCGAGACAGAGACCGAGAACCGAAGGCGGAGTTTTCCCCAGGCCCCCAACCCCCGATGGTTCGTCACGGTCGCAGTTGTTGCCGATTTTCCTGTACACTTAAAGAAACAATTTAAGCTGGGGAAACACTCTTTAATTTTGTAACTCTGAGCAAGGATTACAGGAAGTTCATTGGAGTAAATTTGTGTGTTTAAAACCCTTTCAAAAATGTATATATCATGATAATTCTACTCAAATAAGAACTGCTTGATGTCTTAAATATTAAAGAGTATAACTTAAGATTAATTTTGATTACTTTAAGGCTAAACTTGTACTAATTTTCTCCAAGTGCAGTACATAGTATGCGTATGCCATAGAGGTATGTCCATAGAGAGCCCTATTGGCATCGCTTTCGGTTTGGCTTTGGGTTTGAGACTGGGTGACTCTTGGCGTCGGCGTCGTTTTCGTTGTTCGTTTTTTGTGTAAGTGAACGAGTGTGTGTGTGGGGTGTGCGAGTGTGCCATGCGATTGCGATTCCTGGAAACTAACAGCGATTCACAGACAGCGGACAACTCGCACACCATTCAGTTCAGTGTTCAGCGCTCGGCTGATGACGCTCCGCACCTCGCAGTCACATCCAAAAAGCTGGCTCTTTCGGCGCGCTCTTTCACGAAAGTGTTAAAATAATAAACCAACAACAATAGCAATAACAACAGCGTTAACATTTAACGTTAACAACAAACCAGAACGGGAACTATAACACCCGTAATTGACAGACTATTGGGCCACAAACAAAAATTTAATGTGCAATTTTCATAAACGTTCCGCGTCAGCCCAATGACTGTGTGCTTTAAATTATAGCCATCATCAAATCGTAACTAAATCGGGCGAGACCGGTGGCAAATATATATATCCCGTCATTATCAATTATTGCATCTAATTGTCAAGTATCAAAGTAATAGCGATCCAAAATCACCTTTCCAATTGGAAGCCGGCGGCAAGTGACTTTTCCCACGATTTCCTGTTTTGAGATTTAAATCGAAGTCATCTTAGTTTCAAATGTCATCAAATAAAACTTGATTTGCATTTGAGTAGTACTTGGGTGAGTAGAAATTGCTATCCTAAAGTAAATCGATATTGTAAAATAAAACACAATGGTTTATTAGGAAGGTTACCTTTGCATAGAAAAAAATATAGTTTAATGAACATAACAAATGGCTTCCGGGAAGGTTTTTCACAAAACATACAATACTTTCGTAGAACTTTGTTGTTAACATCCTCGAGTTAATTCTTTAATTAATTCTTCTAAAATTCTTATCTAAATTCCATTAAATACATTTAGAAAATTTAATCGAAAGCTATAACATGTAAAACAAGATTTCTTGAACCTTCAAAATTCTCAAATGTTTACGTTAATGAATTAAAATTTAGGTCTATTACTTTATTAAAAACATAAAAATGAAAATACAACATGAATGCTATTTCGGTCATTTTTTAATATTAGCAAATTTGGTGAAAATACTCAGCATATATTTTTTACCCTAGCAAATGAATGACTAGTTTCTAATGAATATTGATGTTTTAAATTAAACCAAAAAGTCCTAGAG